AAAACTTCAGATGCTGTTTAACATTTTATTTGAGGTGGTACAATATCAGTCTACAATATAAATGAAAGGGCAAGGGCAGAGAAAAAAATCTCTCAAAAATGAGACATGCAAATAATTACATCATCTGTCACTTTGCTTTTTCAATGTGAATACGCCAAACCTAAAACAAAAGAACACCAAATGTTTTATTAGTATACTAATTGTTAATTGCTTTTCTGCAAACTTTACAATATGTTTTTGCCATCACTTTCAAATAACATTTTATTCAAACAGTTGAAAGACTTCTAAAGTGAAGAATGGTATGTTAAGAAAGAGTGTTTTATATGAGGCTCATTAAAAAATGCATGAGAGACTTGTTTAGTAGTCCTGTTTAGATCATATAAATCTTTTTCAAAATCATAAATCTGCCCGCATTGTAGTGAGAAAAAAATTGAACATATCTTGTTCTTCTTTTGAACAGATGTCTGTGAATAGGAAGCCATCATCAAAATGGTGTCCCAAGTTTGTTCTGACTGCCTCAAGGAACACTTGGTCGTATCAACGCAGGAAACGACGCAGAGAGAAACTCATCCAAAGGAAAGCTTCAGTCTGCCCATCCACAGCGCAAACTCTTGCACCAGGAGAGTCATCATCACTTTTATCAGCAGTCCCCTCGTCTTCTAAGGTGATGGCAGGGGAGGAGAGACTTGGTCAGGATCCACCAAGCCGCAAGGACAATATCCCGTCATCATCATCAGCATCATCCTCATCTAAAGATGATGGGCCTATCCAGAGAGCGACGTCTGATCTTCCGGGTGCGGTCCCATCGCATTGTTCATCTCCGAGAGCAAGCACCACCTCCACTTCGGAGGATGGCAGGATATTGAAAAAAGCCAGGCTCAACACTTCTTTTCCCCCAGGAGATTCAAGCGCATCAACAGCCACAGGTTCTGCAAAGCTCCCAACTCCTGCACCCACCCTCAGCAGCAACATCTCAAAGGCATCATCTAAGACGACCCTAGAGTCAACATCACATGACACTTTTGCCACAGCAAGTCTTGATAGTGCAGATGGAAGGCTTGGAGATGCCATTGGAGCTCCTGCGTCATCTCTAGGAAAGACAGACCTTAGAGACATTGCATCGAGGCAACCTACTGAAGCAGGACAAACGATGACCGATGGCACCAGATACAAGGACCAATTATCATCATCATCGGATGAAGCCGATGATGGCTTTCCACTGGACATAAACCTTGATATTAAACTATGTGACAGAAGGACCATTGTATTTGTCGCAAGTGTAGCGGACTCCTCCAAAAAGAATCTCCTTTACCAGGTCGTCCAATACATCAAGAACCAAATGAAATAAAGCAACTCTTAGGCAAACTAAATTTGTCGAGGATTAAATGTACATCATCTGTTTTGTTCATGGACATATCTTTTGAAAGTGTTTTTTACAGAAAAGCTTTTTATGCCTCCGTTACGAAGTAGCCGGAGGCATTATGTTTTCGGGTTGTCCGTCCGTCCGTACGTCCGTACGTACGTCTGTACGTACGTACGTCCCGTTCTCGTGATCGCGTTATCTGAAGAACTGGTTGATGGATTCCTGCCAAACTTTGGTCATGTATGTATCTTGAAGAGCCGATGAACTGATTAGATTTTGGGGTTACGAGGTCAAAGGTCAAAGGTCACAGGGCTCATTATGTATGCAAAACGAGCTCGTGATCGCGTTATCTGAAGAACTGGTTGATGGATTCCTGCCAAACTTTGGTCATGTATGTATCTTGTAGAGCCGATGAACTGATTAGATTTTGGGGTCACGAGGTCAAAGGTCAAAGGTCACAGGGCTCATTATGTATGCAAAACGAGCTCGTGATCGCGTTATCTGAAGAACTGGTTGATGGATTCCTGCCAAACTTTGGTCATGTATGTATCTTGTAGAGCCGATGAACTGATTAGATTTTGGGGTCACGAGGTCAAAGGTCAAAGGTCACAGGGCTCATTATGTATGCAAAACGAGCTCGTGATCGCATTATCTAAAGAACCGATTGATGGATTGCTGCCAAACTTAGGTCATGTATGTTACTTGCAAAGCCGAAAAACTGATTAGATTTTGAGGTCACGAGGTCAAAGGTCAAAGGCCACAGGGCTCATTATGTATGCAAAACGAGCTTGTGATCGCGTTATCTGAAGAACCGATTGATGGATTGCTGCCAAACTTAGGTCATGTATGTTACTTGCAGAGCCGATGAACTGATTAGATGTAGGGGTCACAAGGTCAAAGGTCAAAGGCCACAGGGCACATTATGTATGCAAAAACAGCTCATGATCGCGTTATCTGAAGAACCGATTGATGGATTCCTGCCAACTTAGGTCATGTATGTTTCTTGCAGAGCCAATGAACTGAGTAGATTCTTGGTTCATAAGGTCAAAGGTCATGGGCTCATTATGTATGCAAAAATAGCTTGTAATCACAATATTCTGAAAACCTGTTAATGGATTACAATTGAACTTGAATTCGAAATATTTCTTCTGTTTTGGTTTGTAAAATTGCTCTATGACGGAGGCATCATTTTCGACTGCGCGCAGTCGAAGTTCCATCTAGTTTTCTTACTCCTTTTACATTTTTTTGTAGAGTTTTATCAGTCTATTTTTCATTGACCTTAAAGATAAAGATAAAGTTCTGGTGTGTACTGCAAGAGGAGGCGCGATAGCTCAGTTGGTAGAGCAGTGGTCTCTTAATCTGATGACCCGGGTTCAAAACCAAGGTGATGCGCCAGTGCCGTATGGTAAGGCATTTATCCTCATCACCAGTCCCTCGGAGAGGACCTAAAGCCGTCGGCCGTCTGGTTGCTTACTTTCAAGCATTTATGCTTTCTTAGCAGTCGGGTCAAATCACCACCACTAATAATAAATTTGGCCCATTCTTGGTAAAGTAACAGGCACTGTACACAGCATATGGGACTACACAAATGGTGCCGGGCCTACAAACCTTGATTTCCTTATCTTTCTATACTCATTACTCAGCCAGTATACATTTTCTACCAAAATTGTTTGGCAAATGACATTTATTTGTAATCTTGAACATTCAGTGTAAGTTTCGTTTGATTCTGTGAGAATTAATTTTCTTTTTTTACCAGAACTCAAGTTTATCTTTAAATTTTACTTCATCTGTTCAGAACCAGAAGGATGTTAACTCCAAAGCTTCTGGATCAAAACAGACAGTTTTTTATACCACTTTTGACATTCCATGTTTACTTCCTGGCAGTCTAACTGCTATCAGAATGTTGAGACTACCAGACTATCAGACTTGCACTTTTTGGGGAAATAAGTTCAGCTACATGTATAGTCTAATTTGCAAAAGTAGCTATGTCTTCAGAAATAGAACCCATATATACCACAACTACTGCCATTTCCAGCACAGATAAGAAAAAAAACTGTGCTTGGGTACCAACTGACTTAAAAATGCTATCTGCCTAACTTAACTTTTGACCACTTGACTTTCCTTCAAAGCAGTCAGATCCAGCATGCAAAAAAAAAAAAATTACTTTGTGATTATTACTACGGTTCCAAAAATTACAATGTTCCACAAAGTTCACCTATAGCTTTGAAATGGTGGAAAACAATGAACTGACATAAATGCATGTGATAAAGCTATAAAAGAAATAATAAAACATTTCTGTCATTCAATATAAAACATAAGTATGTTGGTTACGACGGATGGTGATGAGACTCTATTTCAAGCGAAAATGTTTGAGACAAAATGTAAATGTTTATACTTCAGAAATATACATGTAGTATAGGAGTTGTTTGAAATAGAAAATGTAAATGAATTGATGAACAAGTATGGAAATGATTTCAGATTTACTTTTTCATCATTTTCCGTACGTGAGACTACCTTTGTATAGAGAGAGATGAATAGGTAGACCCTTCTACAAAGACGCTGTTTTAAAGTTCCCTTTGATGGCCTTGGGTTACATGTGAAGCTTCCAGGTGCCTGAGACTGGGCAGATTTATAGTTGAACCACTCAGATGTTGCTGAAAGAGTAAAACTTATATAAAGGCTGGTTCAGATTGGATTCTGCAAAACTGTGGCGTTTTTTTTGTGTAATGATCATGCAAGATGTAATATGTTTTGCATTTCTGTATCTTATAAAAACAAAGCTCAGTAAAAAACCGCAATTCCTAGGGATGCGCACAGTTTCCATTCATTTATATGTGGGGAAAAAACGCGCCACCTCTTTTGCTGAGGTTGACCGCGCCATATCTTTTGTACATACACTACAGGATCAAACATGTGGTTTGTCTGCAGTAATCAAAATCAACCGTTATGAACATTTCATGAAAATCATGTTTTTTTACTAGGTGAATCCTGATGTGTTGATATTAAAAGACATATTCCCATCTGTAATACTGAGAGGCTAGAATGATGTGAATTATAAACATCTCTGTTCCTGATATGAGACTGTGCCTTACCTTTTATTTTATTTCGTCTATTAATCCATGCATCAATCCTCCTGCAAACTGCAATGCTTTGTATGAGCTTTTAATAAAAACATCAAGAATTGATACAGAGAAAAAAAGAGTATGATTTTTTAGAGATGCCGATATATTTTGTCATTGTCTAGTCTAATAAAACATGAATATTTGTACTCCATAAAAACAATTTCCTTTTTGTTAGCAGTTATTCATGTTGTATCAGTTGGTTTAAGGATACATTACTAAGGGTACTAGCGATAAGGTGATCAGGGTCCATCTTATAAAAGAGTTGCAATCGATTACAAATGATTTGAAATTGATTTTAATCACATTTATCTCTTTAGTACAGAGTTGCCATTGATATCAATTGCAACTCTTTCATAAGACAGGGCCCCCTAAATGAGGTATTTTCTCATTTGTGAACTTGGAAGTTTAGACTTTACTACTCAAGAGATTATCACCCCCCCCCCCCCCCCCCCCAAACACACACACACACACACCTACCAAACAAAAAGAAATCAGCCTTTGACACACACAAAAAATTACCATCTTTCCAAATTTCAGGCCTTCACAATCAAAATTTATTGCAAACCTTTCAGTAAACATCAAAATCATGGTTCTATACACATAAAACATCCATTCTGCTCCATAATATTTGACAAGCATAATTACTCTGGACTCCAAATTCACCCGACAGGTTTAGAAGAAAAAAGCAATTAATCGAAACACATAAAGCAAAGGCCTTATGTTATGTCTAATTGCATCCAATTACTTGGTTTAAATTATGGATGTTTTATACAAGACATATCTTCATTGTTGATTCCTTAATATTATGACCAACGGATTGGGTTTGTGAAGTTTGGCTCCATTAATCGAAGTGTAAAATCCTCCCTCGATAATTCCATGTTCGTAGTCTCACTACATTGTATGTAATGTATGTAGAAAAGTTACGTTTAGGAGATCGGATCAAAATCAGATTACTCCCTAATTGGAGTGAGAAAATCATCACAAAATTAAAAAAATTATAGAAATTTGAAGAGTCTTTAAAATTGAACAAAATATGTGACAAGAACAACAGTTTTAATGGATGAATGGAATTTCTTTTATTTCACCAGTTCCACAAATTTCTCTTAATATTCAAACTCATTACACAAGGTTATAGATTTGCACATTTTCTACGACTCCTTTCTACATCGTTGTGAAACACTGTCATAATGCAACAACATAATATCTTGAAGTTACATATATGATTAGCCAATTCACAATCTCTATTTTGAAATACACATTAGGTGGATAATGGATTGAAATACATTTGATTATGTCGATAAATTTTGGATTTATTTAAAATTCAAATCACAATTAAATTGTCAATGGTCTTATATAAAGTACAGTCATCTACAAAGACTTAATTTGTAGACTTGATTTACATCCCTGAAATACTGAAATTGATGTACCTGTTGAAGTCCATATTACTCTGCAACAACATAATGTTTTCTCATGGAAAACCTGTAAATGCACAAATTCAATTTAGCATTATCAATTAGTAGGATACAACACCCAAATTTACATCTGTAATGCTATGAAATTGCATTTAACTCGGCATGTTAGTAATCGGCGCACATTTTCCCGAACCATCTAAATCTTATATTTACTGTAACCTACAAATTATCCACTTGAGTCGTTAACAGAACCCAATATACAAACTTTGGTAAGAATATCATTATTTGTGACATCACACTGGACACTTTATAAAATACGATTATCCTGTGTAAGGGAAAGGGAAAGAAAGGAAGGTGCTGGAAACATCAAATAGATAAAAACGTGAAGGACAAGAGACACACAAGTCTTTATTGTTTCTCAGTCTCTTTTCAGGACTTCACAATCAACACTAAATAATACAAACGCTCCTTTCAAGGCCTACCCATATGGTTGTACCGCAAATCTACTCTCTAAGAGACACACAGGTAATAGAAAGAAGTGAAAAACATAAAAGAAATAAGACAATATTGAAGAGCTTAACAAAAAAGCAGACTCTAGGATGTGTTTACCCAAACACGATCTTACCAGCAGTTGTTGATTGATTCTAAAAAAAGGTAATGTTGAATTCTCCAAAAATTAAGAGCGAGCAACATTTGGTCCCAATTTTCACAAAATGTACATCGTAATTCAACTAGCGTGATAGCATTTGTAAATAATGAGTGAGCCCAAAGTCTGCATTTCTTTGCACTTCTGTGCGTGATAAGAATTTATCCCCTGTAAGATTCCAATATAGTTTTCAACCAAAAAGTTTTTGTTGTATTGAAATTCTTTCACTCGATGTTTGTCTTTGCTATCACAAGTATGAAGGAAATAATAAACTCTTGATTATTACACAGCTATAATGATGTCACCTTGAATATACAACCCAAAGAAATATAAAACCTGAATGATGATGACCATTTCAACCTTTCAATGATACCAACACTATAACAAATAAAATATATGATAATGATGACAAATAAAGCTCCAAACAGACGTCAGAACAGATGTGCAGGACTAGATGTATTGTCACAAAGCAAAAATATTGGTTGATTTTGGACAAACCCAAGGTATTTTGGTCAGTTGGTGTCCCGTACAATACTAAGAATAATTGAAACCGAACATTACTGGACAATGAGATTGTAATTTTCCTTTATCTTTAGTCTGATCCAAGCTCTAGTAGGGCTTATGACTGTGTAAAATATACAGACCTACTAGGATAACAGAAGTGATCGGTAATGTATGGGACATAATAATTTTGTACCTTTTTAAAAGTATGCTTGTTGTGATGTAACCTGCAACTCTAAAGGATGGTGAGAAACATTGTTATATGAGGGGGAAAAGGGAAAAGAAAATCCTCTGGGGAAAATGGGGCAATTGTAGCCCACAAAAAGAAAATGGAACCTTTTTTGTCTATCACAGTATCTATATGTATAAACAAGTTTAGTTTCAAGATAGATTTGGGCCAACAAAGAACAGATTAACAATTCTAATCAATGATATGAAAACACCGGTTACATCTTAGGATTCTAGTAATGTTGTCCATTTTCGGGGGAGGGGGGGGGGGGGGGGGGGGGGGGTTACAGCCCATGCAATATGGTGAAAAAATGATGATAAACCGAGAATCAAATCCAACTACTTTCATGAATCTTGAATGTAGTGCCTCGACATCAAATAAACTTTCAAAATAAAAATTCAAATAAACATTGTAAGTAAAACCTTACTCATTTTAAACCTTCAAAAACATAAAAGAATACAAAACATTGAATTAAATGGCAAATACATCATTAACACATGTATAATCTAATCAGTATAATTCCCTACCATGTTGGTAAAACCCTTACACACATCACTCATCAAACGGTTACCGTCAAAACAAAGAACCAATCAAAGATACTCATTAATATAGATTTCACTAATCACTTTCAAGTTTCAATAATGCCATTATTACAAAATATACACTCTTACATACACACTCACATTCAAATGGCCATACCTTGTGTAAGACTAGAGTCTTACACTATACACATATAAATCTATATATGTATTTCATACACGCGACTATGGGGATTTGGTTAAATGCGGAAGACTTGGGTTTACTCACACAACATTATTGCTCTGGCAAAGACAAGTAGCACATTATATATTTCCCCTGTATCAATCAAGCTAATCCATTCCTCCAAATACTTTAAGAGGATAACAACGAGACAAATAACAAATTCAGTTTAATACCTATTACCTAACATGGACTTTGTTGAGGGCTCTGACTGGAGATTTACCAGTGCTTACGGTAATGAAGCTACAGTGAAACCTGTCTATAAAGACCACACTAGGAGACAAGAAAAGTGGTCTTTACAGACAGGTCTTTATGTGCAGGATCCGTAAGTAAATGTTGACAGTGTGGTCAGACAGGTGGTCACTAAAGCAGGTTTGACTGTATTACATTTCAATCCTGACTGCACTTGAAATTCAGCGCGACTATCCACCACTTTCCATCCAAATTTAATGTGACACAAGCACTGACAATCCTACCTCACTCCTTCATCATCAACGGTTTAGAAAAGACTTGGGGTGGTGAATACTTGCCATGGTTTTTATAAACTATCATCAAAGACGGACGTGATTAATACTAGTGAGCGGGTATAAAGAACAAAAATGCACGACTGAGCTAAAGACTTCCAATCTGGCCATCCTGAATGACTTTTTCTTACAAAACAATTAATAAGGTTTATTAATTGATCAAACATTAAATGTAGAATCAATTTCAAAACATATCAGCACCATGATATATATTTATATACTGCCTTGATCAAAGCTGTATGTACTAAACCAATTATAACAAACTTAATTTCACTTTTTGAGTAAATGTTTTAACTGCTACAACAAAATCATTTAATATGCAACGGCTTTCAATACACTGTAATAAAAACAGAAACCAATAACAAAAAATATCTAAATAGATAAGAAATCGTTATCTAAATCGATGAAAAACAACACCCACTGATCAAAACTCAAACAGCTGATTACAAATAAAGAGTGAGCACTATGAGAATTCATCAAGAATTTCATCTATTTGTTCAAAAATCAAATGGTCAATGATGAATTAAATCAGGTAAATACTAGGATTACACTCTGTTCAGAAAATAAACCCTGATCATGGATTCATTGCAAATTGACCAAAATATAGAGCAAAATATAGATGTATAAACTTACATCATAAAAAATAAGATCAATGCTTCCACGATAATTGTATCATGTTCCAAGTTTCGTGCATGCCTTTGAACCTAATGATTAATGATTAAGACCTACTACATGACATTAAAACTGATATTTTGTGGTGCATTCAGGGTTTTCAGGTGTCAAACAAAAATTTACAACGGTTTTCTCATTCATTAAGCAAAATGCTTGGGCGGCAGGCCTACTTAGGCACAAAATAAAATCTTACACGTGCATATATTTCTTATATCAAAACTCTACGAGGAATCTCAATGTCACAAAACTCATCATAAATGCAATGTCTCTGTAAAATCCAACTTCGGCTACCTGTATATTCCAATATAAACTATGACTATCTAGATGTATCATAGACTATGGGGTCCCTCGTATTGTTATCTTGCCACCTCAACCTCCTGTGGAGCAGTGGTTGCGTCCGCTGGCTGTGGTTCAGAGGGTGGGCTGGTGGGTTCTTCCACTTTCTCAGGGGGGTTGGTCTCAGTGGCCTCTTCTTCTTTGCTCTCAGAGGGGTTGGTCTCTATGGCGGCCTCTTCTTTGTTCTCGGGCTGTACTTCAGTGATGTTCCCTTTCTGAATGCCTCTGATGCTGCGGAATTGAAGAAGGGGAGAAAAAAAATATCAAAATTACAATCATTTTCGGAAACTCAAACACGGAAAGTCTACTACAAAGACCTGAATCTTTGACAATTGAGGTCACAAATCTAACAATAATTATATTCTGGATCCATATAACATAATGGATCTATGATTGATCTAAGCACTCTACAGGTACATTAGATTATTTTACATGTTACAGTCAAACCTGTCTATAGCGACCACCCAAGGGAAACACATAAAGTGGTCTTTGTAGACAGGTTCCTTTAGTACATGTTTCAATGAGAAACAATTTTCAAGGGAAACAAAAAATGTGGTCTTTGTAGACAGGTGGTCACTAAAGCAGGTTTGACTGTATATAATTTGAGCATAGTGGACTCATCAATTGATACGTTTTTTGTACTTTTATTTATGAAAGCTGTACAGTTAGAGAATACAATTCGTTTTTTTTTCTTTTCTTCTCTCTGGGATGTCGGTGAACATGTACTTCGGACTGTTCCGTGAAACACTGGCTGGGTTCATTAGTTACCTGACTGGGATGAGGAATATTCCATTGATCATGTTGAGTGTTTCTAGCACGCTACTCATGGAGGGATGGCTGATTGGGATGGGACGTAACGCTGCTTTGGGACCTCCTTTCTTGATCTCATTCATCTGTAACACAAAATAATAATTGATTCATTTAAAAAAAATGTTTTCAACATCTTCTTTTATTTTTACTCTTCAATTGTGCTATGACAAAACATTGTTTTTGTATGTAAAAAAAAAAAAAGAGGGAAATAATCTTATAATGGATTTGTTGGAAGCATAGAAACTCATTAAGTAGGTTTTTCACAGATATAAAACTTGAAATGTTTCTTTGAAAATGTTAAAAGAAAAAGGTAACTTGTACTCATTCATGACAAGACCAGTAAAATATTGCAACATTATTTGGATGAACAATGATATCTATTTTATGAGAATATGACTTCTTGATCTTTGTAAAACAACCCTACTTAAATAGTATCTCAGTTCTTGTAAACCTTATTGGTTATACTCACCGTCTTTTGGAGAGTGACAGCTTGCTGCGTGAGGTAGCTCAGGCATTCTGAACTCTCCTTCGTCTTCTCATGGTTATCACCAAACTGAAAGGTAGAAGAAAAAAAGAATTTGTTTTAAATTGATGAGCTCTCAAATCATTGGATAAATCACATTTTCCATCCATATTTGATTGTAATTAACTAGCTATTATACTAAATAACTATTACAGAAGACTATGAAAACAACCACATACATGTATACTTAGAATGCAACTATGATTTATACAACAATGACTAAGAATTAAACAAAGACAATTACTTTGCTAAAGCTTCTGCTGCTTCTACAAGAATTTACATACATAATTAAGTAGAAAAATAACTACAACTGTAACATACAACTTCCAAGTTCAAGCATTCTGTCAACAACTTCAACACAAAATAGCTTCTTTTACTTCTACACATGTTCATTCATCAACCAAAAGCTATTTTCAAGAACCAATGCTTCATACTACCGGTACTTCTAAAACCTTAATGATACTAACCTGTTCGCGATAGATAGTGTATGCATCCTTCTCGTTACGTAATGCCGAACGGAAGTCACCACAGCAGGAGTGAGTTCTTGCGACAAGATGGTATCTGTAAAGGGAGAAGAAAAAATAGAAATTTGAAGAAAAAAATCCACAACATCTTGATACATAAGAGGAAAGAGAAACGTTACAAATTTGCCCTCAACCGATGATATCCTTATATTGAAGAGGAAAAAGTCAATAATCAAGTTTTTAAACATTCTTAGATGTCATGGACAGTCAATTTAAAAACATTACAAAGGAACAGACTCAGAACGATAAAAGGCATGAGGTAAAGAAGAGCAAAAGATTTCAGGAATAAAAGAGAAGAAAAGACGAAAGAGAAGGATGTTAGCAAGGAAACAAAGAAGATGGACAAGAACTTAATGCTTTTTAAGATCAGCAAATTTTGGGAACACATCTACCCTCTTGGTTTATTCGGGGATTATTTCGTCATGAAGTAGATTAATAGTTTATTGGTTGGATCAGTGATTAGCAACTGGAAAAAAGCTCTACATCTATGCTTGTACAGTGAAACCTGTCTAGAAAGACCACCAAGGGAGACAAGAAAAGTGGTCTTTATAAGGCAGGTGGTCCTTTACGTACAGTTCCTATAGTACATGTTTAAATTAAAAACCATTTTAAAGGGAAACAAAAAATGTGGTCTTTATAGACAGGTGGTCTTTCTATAGAGGTGGTCATTAAAGCAGGACTGGTTTGACTGTAATTACAACATATATGGTGACATTCACAAATCAGAGTTTATCCTTACGTGTGTGCTGCCTTGAGGCTCTTAACTCCAAAGTACTTGATGTTGACTTCCAAAGCCTTCTCCAGAAACTTGAGAGCCAGCTCAAACTGATTAACACCATGAAGCACCAGACCAATATTACTCTGCAAGATGATAACACATCAAAGAGAAATCATTGATACATTCATGATTGGCTTGCAATTTAGGAATTATCAATTCAGTATATCACAGGATAAATTTCACTCACAATCAATAATTTAAAACAATATGACTTCTTCTTTTCTTCTAGTTTTCTTAGGTCAAGAGCAGTAGCTATTTGTCACACTTCATGCTTCCTTTCCAGAAAAACGTGCTACTTACATTGCAGTATTGATATTCTTATTCTCAAAATTGATATAAAAAGTCCACAGTGTATCAAAATAACATTCACTGTGAAGAAGCTATCTGATAGCTCGGTTTATTATGAAACAATATTGCAAATAAATTGTGATCTAATCAAAATATGATGGATACAGATCATTCAAATGAATAATCAAAGGAAATGGAGACTGGAATAATATCAGGTATTAGGAGACAAAGCAAATCATGATCACACTCACGTCAAAGAGCGCCATCTCTGGATGATCCTCTCCGTGGATGAGAAGCGTTAGATAACGAGCTCTGTACATTAGCTTGAGTGCGCTCACTGCCTGGCCTGCTGCAAACCTGTAGAGGGCCAGGTGCATCTGTATCAAAAGAAATCATGATAATAATAATAATAATAATATCAGATATTTGTAATGCACCAACTCCACATGACTAAAGTGTTTGAGGCCTAATGGAGGAGAAAAACTACAAGTACATGAAAATACACACACAAAAAAAAATGTGAAAGTAAATCTACTGATACTTGTCTCATGAGTGTTTATTCAACAACAAAATATTAAAATAACAAATAAACTGCAAGGTAATAATTCTAAAAGCACTTTGGAAGCACAAAGAGATATGATGTTGCAACATATGATAAGTAACATGAGCATCACTGTGTGGTGTATATATTAGCGCTACGTAAGATAATACATTATTTCATGCTCCTTACAAAAAAAAAATTGTTGTTTTTGTAATGGCTCATAAAACTTTTAAATACCATATCTTTAATAAGATCTAGGACTCATTTTCAAAGTAACGATCACATTTCATATCTACATTCCCTGAATACAGCATAGATTTTTTTTTCTATCTTTAACGATAGGAGAAAGAAAAAGGAGGCATAGCTATCTTTCTTACACAAAAATTGTTCATAATTTCTTCGTATTTCAGTCAGTCTGAACTTAAGAAAGTCAGTTGCTCTCGAGTCCTTGCCGCTAGTGCCAAGCCAAGAAAATGAAAAGACTGAGGAAATTAAGATTCATGACCAAGACTCACATATTCTGTGACGGTGTTAGGATGATCAAGACCGTTGCACCTCTCACTCATCATGACAGCCTTGTGTTGCATCTCAATGGCCTCGCTCTGTTCACCCATCAAGTAGTGAAGTCTAGCCAGGGTGCGCATACAGGCAGCGATCTCGGGGTGCATAGGTCCGTACACGTTGTTGAATAGGTTCAGAGCCTCGCTGATCAGCTCGAAGCCCTCCCGGAAACCACCTAGTGGACGAAGGATAAAAAGACCATCCATTATCAAATACAGTCATACCTGCTTTAGTGACCACCTGTCTACAAAGACCACACTTTTGTTTCTCTTGAAAATGGTTTCTCATTGAAAAATGTCCTAAAGGAACTTTTCTAAATTCCTTTCTCTATCCGCAAATACAATCAAAATGCTACCTGAATTTTACGTTCTTCTTTATTTCTGTAATGTTATTTTTGTAACCTTTCCGGGCCATCCCGTTTACTCGAACACTTAAAATAATTCACTTATTTTGTTTATAACGTAAGAAAACCTCTGTACAGCAATATTTTGAAGGATTTCTTTGTCAAAGTATATGATTTGATTTTTTGTACTTTGTATAATGTGAGCAAAACAAATTTCCAATATTGGACAATAAATTGTAATTGGAATTGAATAAACCTAAAAAACTTTTATCAATGGAAGTAAGCATGATTCCTAGAAAACCCACCTTGCTGTATCTTCGTCTGCCCGCTCTGGAAGAAGTGATAAGCATCCGATGCGGTGGGGTTGATGTGTTTGACCCGAGGGAACATGTTGAGGATGTCGTTCTCGTTGAAGGGTGGCTTGTTCTTGGAGTCCAGGTCGTAGTCCCTCAGGAGAAGCTGGACGCCAAGCTTGGAGCAGAACTCTCGGAGCAGCGTCATCTTCTGGAGGTTGTAACGCTCCAGGACAGAGTCTATGCTCTCACTGTACGTCAAACACAAGATCAAAGTCGTGAAGGTTTATAAGAGAATTCATCACTTACAATACCAAAGGTGCATGTACACATTTGGTCACAGATTCATCTTTTAACTCCTCCTGTGACATAGTTTGTTTTTTCTTCCTTTTTTGTTGGGGGGGGGGGGGTATTATTAAACATCCTTGCCTTTCAATAAACTCTAAGATTATCTTGTAAAAGATTATTATTATTTATTACTTCATGTACCTCTGACACATACATTAGCCCGCTATTTCCCAAATAGCGGGATATTTTGGAAACAAGACCAAGCTTTCTCAGGATATTTTCTCAACCAAAATCCTTCTGATTAGCGGCTGTTGAAGACGCAAATTAGCTGGATAATTTGAGATATCATCGGGATAGTTAAAATAGCAGGTAATTTGGCAGTCTCGAGCTGATGAAGACAGCCTATAGAAGAATTATAAGTTATCAGGCTGAGCTTACCATTTGACCTTGTAATGGAAGTATTCTTTGCATTCGACCTTGATACTGGTCCAGAGGTCAGAGGGCGTGAGGCTGCTCCATGATGTATTCTCTAAACACACACAGAGGATCAGAAAAGGAATAAGTTAAAATCTATGAATAGCTCTTGCAAATATGCACGTCAATGCACCAAAATACAGAAAATCTGGGGCTTTTTAGTCTTTACTTTGGGTAATAACTGTCATTGCAACTTTCAAGTACAGGTCTGCATCTGTATCTGGTTGCAGAATCTTAGATCCCTGTTTCAGACCTGAACATAATCATACCCATATTACTGTACATGTACATATCCCTCAATTACTTTTGGTGTCTGGATTTGTTCACTTTAATGCCACTTTTGTTCCAGCTATTTCCTTTCTTTTTCCTAATTCTTGGGTGGTAGATCAAGCATATATAGTAAGAAATTCCCCACATGGAACATAATACAACTTCTCATATTTCAAACCAATCTTGTATTTAGATGAGTGAAAATCTTATCTGTATTGCTAGTTCCATCTGGGAATCAGTATCTGAATTGCTACATGTAGTTTATGATTAGTACAAACCTTGTCCGAGAGATAGAACGGTTCGTATCCTCTTCTTATTCTTCTTCTTCTTGTGATGACCATTACTCAACTACATTCAAGAAAAAAAATAAACAAAACAAGTGATTAGATTTAAAAACACAAAAGAACAATTGTAAACCTTTCGAAATTGAATAATGCTGAATGGGTGATAATAAATAGGACTGACACACATATATATATATATATATTTAAGGGATAAAAACTGAATGGGCTTTGGGGTATTTCTGGAATGAGTTGGTGCAGAATTTTTAACAGCAGTCTATGTTATGGAACTCTGGGTTTTCAGTTGTACCTTATTTTACCACATTTTTTCGAGTTTTGAGACAGATTTTTTTTTTTTTTGGGGGGGGGGGGGGGGGGGGGAATCGTACTTTAAAAATTGTACGAAATATGATAAAATCGTACTGGTTGGCAGCTCTGGTCAGATGATGTCCAATTCTCTTTTCTATTCATAATGATTGGATTCATTTAATTAAATTGAGTTCCATGTTTTCTTACCTCATCATCTCCCTTCGGTGGTAGTGGGTTTGGTAAGGAGGAGAGGAAACAGTTGAGGAAGTGACTGATGGCAGCAGACAGATTGGTCATAGGGATGCCTTGCATGTAAGCCTTGAAGACGTGCTTCACTGACCTACATATCAACTCAGTGATCACAATACGCTGTAAAGAAATAACAAATAATCATCCACCTTCATCATTTGTTTTCTATTCCTTTTAAATTCAGTATAATGATAAGCAATGATCTGTATTACATTTACTAAATGATCAAACAAACATTTGTATAGAACAATGAAGCAAATCCATTTCAAAGAAATATTTGAAAGGTTTTAATATTTTGTTCTTTTGTACATGGGAGCCTATACAGCCAATGCAGTCCAATGCAAATCAGAGGTGAGCTTCCAAACAATATTATAAATGTCCTTTCAGACAGAAAAAAAAATGTTATTTAAGAATTCACACTGACAAAATATCCTTGAATACATACTTTGTCTATTAATCTATCTCCAATTTATTCCATATTTGGAAATGAATACTGGTACTCAATTGAAATATTAGTTTCAAAAAAATATTTGTTTTTCACACATTTTTGCATTTAAATTATATTTTGTAATTCTGTCTTGAGTTTGTAACTATATCCTCGTACTGACCATAGACTATATCTCCACCATCCCATTTCTCACATGAATGTAAAATTGACACATGATAATTCGTTAACAATTCAACTATTATCATAGCTTTCATACTTACATAGAGGTAGGATAGATTTTCACAAGTGACTATCTTCTCAGCTAACACACCCATGTAACGAATATTGATGCCTCTGCAAGTAGAATCACATGAGAGGTCATGGTTAAACATCATTTTAATACTTTCCTTTGAGTTAACTAAACATGACATGGAAAGAATAACATGACACAGAAAATCTACCCTAATAACATCAGGCCTTAAATTAATCCAAGGCCACCAAGGCCATGGCCGTGGATGCCCCTGGATGCCCCTTTGATTGGCCTCAATGCCTTTGCCATTGGCCTTGGAGAATTTTTGTGCCCTTTCCAATTCTTCCTATTTGTGCTGTAATATAGAAATGTGCCCTACAGAAAAGTGGCCTTGCCCTACAAATATTGAAATTTAAGGCCTGTAACATTTTTTATTATAATACCAGGAAGAGTCGTAAAAAGCTTATAAACATTCACCAATAAAAAGTCTTTAACATAAGTAACAAGGAAAATTGATGATACAATTAATAAGACAATTGATAGCTGGCCAACTCCTTCGGATCATCAATGACTTTAAAGATCACGCACAAAAATATACAAATCGATCAATCTCTTTAAATCATAACTTCTTTTCTGATTGAACTACAAGTGGTACCCCCACCCACACCTGTTTACGCTATTCAACATTAAAGGCATCGTTTAACGATGTTAAATCTGAGATGCATGGCCCTACGTGTTATCAGTGTCTGTGATATGGTGTAATATTGAAGCACTAAAAAAATTGTGCTTCAAAATATCATGAAGTGCCTCAAAAAAGTAAAACGATTTTGAGTGACCGGTTTTACCATACTCATTTTCCCCAATAGACTGTAGTGTAATAGAAATTGTTAGGAAAACATTTTTAGTAATTTCTAATTCCAATCATAAATATTTTGATAATCAGACAGACAGTCGGCTTGTAAAAGTCATGGGATTCCTGACTGACCTAAAGGTTTATAATTATGATTGCAGCATGAGCTAAATCCAGGATTTGTTTAGAATCTGAGGCAAAGATACCCAATCCCTTTAAGAGTAAATGGGGTGAGGAGTTGTACCTTTGATGTAGCATCTCTACCAGTGTGTACCCATCAAGGGGTGCTATGCTGTGCTCCTTACACTCTTGGACCTGAGAGGGGGGGGGGGGTAACAAAAACAATTCATACAGTCAGTCTCATATATCTCTGCAGAGGTATTCCAATCCAATCACATCATCTGTAGAGTGCACATCAAATGCTGAAGTCCGTTTAGAGAGGTTTTGACATTGGGTAAAAGTTCAAAATTATATACGGAGTGTTCCACGAGGTACATAGATATGCGATCGATCAAGATCAATGTGCTATCGGTATAGTGAAATTATGGACTTTTCGGTGACAGGAATTATTATTATTATCATGTGTTTCTACAGATATTTCCTGAGTAAAATTGAAAGAATAAGTTGCACTCAAACTTATGCCTAGTGGTCTTAAGTAGATCTTTCCAAAATTGCATCAAATCAGCCTATGACTTACAAACAAATATCATAACATCTTGCTGTATGTTGTATGAAGGCTGCATACCCTGCATACCGTATGCAAGTGACAAAAATTAAGTTTAGAAATCAGAAGACATTTACAATTAAATCTCACACATTTTGGCAGTACATTGTATGGATGCTGCACACAGTGTCAAGGTAGTGACTAAACACATCTTAAAAGTTACTTACAATGTTGGGATCTGGACAGCGACAATGAAACGAGCTGCATCTTTGAGTAGCTTCTTCTGCTTTACTAATGTCTCCGCCTGTAAATATGAAAGATCATTCATCTTCATCATATTCTAAAAGGGCAAAGTGTCGTATATTGCACCTAAAGCAGGACTAGAAGAAGTATTATTTCTTATGGACAAGAATTTGCTCACATAGTAAGCATACTGGACATATTTATCAGTTGCTAAACAGATCTACAGGAGAGGATCAATTCACCTTTTCAATTATCTTGTAACACGTTCAAAACCAATTAGACATGGATGGTAATAATACCATCATCTATAAGTTTTCAAATTTGATGTCCAACAAAGTGATAAAGTGTTTGACATAAATTTTGATTGAGATTCCATGACAAAAAACATCAGCAAGTTTACTCTGCCCTTTTAGACAATCCTATCTGCAATATCTCTGCTCAAAGAGTCATTAGTTAAAGTTTTCAGAACAAAAACAATGAAATCATTTCCCACCACATTTGATGATATTAGAGGCCAATTCACACATTAGCACAACTGAAACTCGGCCCCTAAAAAATGGTTGTTTAAATTTTCAAGTACTAATAGCAAAAGTTTCAAGAAAATTTGATATAAGTGTATGACATGTATGTCACTGTTATCATGGGCTTCATGTGCAATCTGTGTCGTAAATTTTGATATTTGGGTTTACAATCCCTTTCTCATTTTTTGAAAAGCTGATCCTATAGAGTCAGCCATTTTGTGAACCATTCATGGCATACCTCTGATGGTGCGTGGATGACACCCTCTGCGTATACATCAGGATTGAATCGTACATCAAACTCAGCACTACTCAATGAACCAGCAGCCTGGGCAGCTAGAGCTATCACCTCCTTATGACTGGGATCAACTAAACAGAAAACAACATATGTATAATCATTACTGATAAGAGGATGTTATGTTTGAAGAAATAAGCTAATCAACTAGTGGGGTACAGGTTAACTTTCAAGCTTTGTAGATCCAATTTCAATCTTACTCATGTGTCTTGACATGGCTAAAATGTGCATTTTATTTTACAGAAACGAACAGGGTAGGGTCCAATGTATTTGATCATTGTGTACCATGCATTAGTAAATATGAGGGTATCAAGAACACATTCAACATTGAAATTTTTTCTTCTTTTTTCGAATAAATGGTCTGATCTCAGCTAAGGTAAGGGAATCACCAGGGCCCCATGACACAAAGGTTTGATATCAATTGCAAATTTGAAACAATGATTCTGATTGGTTAATGGTCAGCCTTGTTAGCAATCCGTGCATGGACAATGATCTTGTTTGGCCATTACCATCTTGCAATTGATTGGAAACCTTTGTGTTACACGGCTCAGGTAATACTAAATTCTTTGATCAGTAATGGTCAGTAAGGGAAAGCAACCTGGAGCGTGCCAGATAACAACAGAAGTTACAAAGCTCTAGGCGACATTGCAAGACTGATGTCCTATACCTTTTTTCATTCTTTTTTTCATTCTTTTTTTCAAACAATCAAGTCTTACTGTCAACAAGGCATTTTCAGTAAGAAGTATAACCTTCTTCTGTATTCTTTCAATCACCGCCTTCATTTCTTTCCTTTAGGAATTCCATCACTCATTTGTCACTTGCTTATTGAATAACTCAATTAGTTTGCACTGTGAAAGAGTTCAGTTTTGTATTAATTTACCATACGCCTTTACAACTGAGTCATAGATTCAGCCCCTTTCATATTCAACCTTGACCCCAAACCAGCATTGAATGGGTCATCTTGTCAAATCTCTGCATGACCCTTTGTTCACACTGTGCAGGTATTTGTGGACTCATTCAACCATGGACATAGCTTGAGGCCAAACAGGCCCCTTGATGACAGATATGACTGTATCAGGGAGGCCTGACAAAACAGTATCATGTTGGGTCAGCAGGTCAACAGAGTGGCAAGAAAGATACAGGCTATATGATGTTTTGTTGGATATTTGTTTTACCCCACTGCTAAGATAGTATGTATATGCTTGTAGGTAAGCAACCAGGGGACCGATGGCTTTAATTGATTCCTCTCCAAGGGACTTGAGAAATGAGGATTAATGCCTTATCAAAGGGCACTAGCGCATCGAATTGGTTTCAAACCTGGGACCTCCCGATTACGAGAATACTGGTCTTCCACGAAGCCATCGTGCCTCCTAATATTAATAGGTGATGAATACATCAGGGATTAGGAGACTATAAACTAAACTAATTAAACATTACAGTGGACAAAATTACCCACAGATACAGAGAGCAACGTAGCTCTAGAAAAAAGGACGATCAACAGTTTTTAGAATGACTTTACAAAGGGAAGTAAACTTACATCCATCTTTCTTGGGTGACGTGGCTAGAGCCTTGGCCGCTTCCTCTGTTGCACTGTCCAGTTCCTTCGGCAGATCGGTGCCATCTGTGGAATCCAATCTCTTAAGCGCAGGGCACATATCAGCTCCTGCGATTCCTTTGGTCTTCATTTCATCCACTATTGCTTCCTTACTAGCTTTCTCCTTCTTTCCATCTTCCACCTTATTCTCCTCTTCAATCTTCTTGCTATCGTGATCACCGTTGACCACTTTGTCCTTTGATTCACCGTTCTCTTTGACCTCTGAACCCGTTTCCTTCTCTTCGATCGGTTTCACATTCTCTCCTTCTTCTTGGGACTGTCCATTTTCAGTGACTTTGGCACCCTCTTGCGGTTGCTGGTTGTGCATGAGCATGAGCGCTGCGTGTCGGATGAAGACCATGTATCTGTGACTGTGTGTTTAAATGGAAGAAATTGACAAGTTTTAATTAAAACCTTAGGAAAGTTATTCACTTAAAGTACAAATTTGTTGGTATTTTTATGTAAATCATTTACAATTCCACCATCAATACATATTTTATCATCAGAAGCTAACATAGACTGCAGTATCTCAACAACATCATTGCCATCACAACTATCACAACATTCATCAATATCATCATCATCATCATCACAACATTCATCAACATCATCCATACAAGCAGAAGCACCATCAGCAAATGCAATGCTGTATACAATTCTACACTTTAGGCAATGACACTAAAATGTTCAATGTATCACAACCAGCTACAGTACAACACGCAATGATAAACTGCTACTACTTCTAAGTTACTATGATCAATATATACAATAAATGCCCTCTATACATACTTTGTTGTACCAGACTACTTACTCTACAAAAGCATCCACTACTTCTTGTCTGAGACAGGCCAGCTTGTGTCTGTGTTGCCTGGGAAAGCCTAGTTTCTTCATGTCTTCTGCAAATTCATCTTCCTCCACTGTTAAATCGAAAGCAGAAATAGATCAAGAGTAAGTCATACAGAATAACATTGATACACTCTGATATGTTGTCAACACAACGATCAAATGATGGCGACGAAGGACTAAGAGTTTACAAGATGTGTGCACCGCAACTATCCAATTTTCATCCAGAGGAGCCCAGCCGTTTATTGACAGGCTAGTCGTTACAAACACAACACACTCCTCTTTTAGTTATACACGTACACAATTTTGAAGTCTTTGTGAATAAGATTGAGAACTTAACAAATATCTTTTCAGAAACAGATGGGAAGAAACTAATGCTATCTAATCATTTTCCCAGCAACTGATGAAAGGAATATAATCAAAATTTATGCATGGATAAGACATCTAATTAATCAATGTACTCCGGAGCGCCTCGGGTCATATCAGGATGTAACGTCCCCTTGAGCCTATAAAAACAGTGATGCCTCTCATAGCAGTCAATATATAATAGTATGTCATGATGAGGAAGTATGATGACAAATATTTTTCTTTTTCTTTTCATCTTTTGAAACTGTTTTGAAGTGTAAGAGAGAGGTCAAAGGGCAAGTAATTACTTACTCTGCAGGAAGTTAACATCAGGAGGGAAAGTTCTGAGAAGATCCAGGACGTAGTGACGACCATCGTTTCCCTTGATCCCCTACAGAAAAGGAAAGTAAATATATAGAATCACTAAAAGAATCATGACAACTCTCAAACTGTTTAATCACGCTCTACGTTACCAACTGTAATGGATATACACATTTTTTTTTTTTTTTTTTTTTTGTGTCATGTTCTCGATAGGTTTCCTCATCCAGCTTTGACATTACATATTGTGAACTATAAAACATATGAGATTTAAACCTTCAATATATCTCATCAAAAAGACACATACATATTGGTTTCATGTACATGCAGGGCAATTCTGTGCAATGTATATCCTATGACACACAACATTTATCCACTATGTCATCCAAAAAGTAAAAAGCTCTTGTTTCCACCACTGCCTAATGGTTCTTTCTGGTATCGCCAACATTATTAAATGGTCAAATTAGGAAATCTTACATTTTTCTATGAAATAAATGGGGAAATGAGATATGCTGTACAAGGACATACTGCAAGGAATAGACCATATAGCTTTCAGGTAATACCCAATTTCTTGCGGAATAATTAACAACAGGATCTAATTTCCCTAGTACATTTCCCCTAGGAGCTCACTGCTGCCTTCATTAGCCTAGATATTCAAAACAGCAGACAGACTAAAACTAGATGGAATTTTGACTGCGCGCAGTCGAAAATGATGCCTCCGCCATAGAGCAATTTGAACAAGTTTGGAGTTTAAATCTCCAGTGGTTCTTGAGATATCATGATAACAATCTCAATGTATGGAATTTCATAAGTTGACCTCTGTGACCCTTGACCTTTGACATACGTGCTCCAAAATCTAATCAGATCGTCTTCCTATGGTGATACATACTATCCTTAAGTTTGAAGTTTAAATCTCAAATGGTTCTTGAGATATCGCGCTAACAAACTCAATACAAGGAATTTCATAAGTTGACCTCTGTGACCTGTGACCTTTGACCTACGTACTCCAAAATCTAATCAGATCGTCTTCCTATGGTGATAAATACTATTCCCGAGTCTTAAGTTTAAATCTTAAATGGTTCTTGAGATATTGTGATAACGGTCAAACGGGACGGACGTACGGACGTACGGACGGACGTACGGACGGACGTACAGACGTACGGACGTACGGACGTACGGACGGACAACCCGAAAACATGATGCCTCCGGCACCACCTTCGGTGGCGGAGGCATAAAAAAGGGTCTATACAAATGACTACAAAGAGTGATCATTACCTTGCATTCTATTGATGAGTAGATTTCAATCTCTTCGTCTTTATGGTTCATCACACTGTGAGGCAGGATCTTGAGGTGCTGGGATGTCTTAGTCAACTAAAACAAATAAGATCAAAATAAAAATCAAGTGTCTTTATAATATCTACCCTCATACATCATTCACAATGCAGGCATATGGATAAGGTTTCAAGAAAGTGAAAAAAAATTGGTCTAAAATGAGTATGAACTGATTAGAAATACACAGATGCAGTGTCAATATAAAAAGAAATTTCCTCATCTCAAACTACAGAGGGATAAATCATCATCAACTTTAGCTATAGATTTCTCACTACATTGAGTACAGCACAGATTAAAAATTGTGTCATCTGTAAAGGCTCTTTGAAGGAGGTGAGGTTTTTTTTCTTTACACAGAAAGGATACATATTCAGCATGGGAGTGCCATACATTTTGTACAATACACAGACTGAAAAAGCTTGAAATGTCAGTAATAAACCATGAAAAAGCATAAGAACTGACCTGAAAGGAAAAACCAAACACAAGAATACAGTTGAACCATCTTTAGCAACCATCTGTTCGAAAGATCAACTGTCTATAAAGACCACACATTTTGTCTCTTGTGAATAGTGATTTACATTGCAACATTTACTAAAGTAACCTGTGCATAAAGATCACCATAAAGACTGCTTTTGTTGTAATCCCTTGGGTGGTCTTTACAGACAGGTTTCACTGTACATCTATAGAGACATCTACTGATTAGTGGCATTGCTCTACTTACAAACGTTTCTCCACATTGCTCAACAAACAAACAAAACAAACAAACTTACGAGCTCCTTGTATTTGTCGCTTGTGACCACGGTCTTGCCGAAGTCGATGGAGCCGTAGATGACGGACTCCTCCTGCTCTCTCTCTAAGATACCAGGGATGATGGACTGAGCCGTGATGCGGTAACCACGGTAATCAACCACCACAGTGCCTAGTTCGTACAGACCATCCAGGTCAAATGTGTTGTAAGCCTTCACTCCTTTTAGATCGTTGCCCTGAAATGAGGTCAAATGTCAAAGGTCAAGTTAGAAAACGTCTCTCCTTCCAAAATGCTTGTAAGAACATTGGTGGTGAAATTTTTAGATCCAAGTGACCACTGGCACAGAAGAAGTTCAGAGATCTAAGTTGATGTTTCAACGGTACTTTTTTTTCATTTTTAATACATCTCCCTGCGACAACACAAAGTTGAACTAACAAAAAAAATATTCTTTATGTCAATGGATCTCTGTCACTTCCGACCTAATTCAACCTACATCCCCCCTCCCCATCCAATAAATTGCCCTACATTGCATACTGTTACAACATTCTAATTTCCCTTTTCAAACAAATCTTTAGATATGACCATACTTGACAGTGGATGGAAGAAGCAGTGAATATTAATCTGATTGTAACAATTTTTTGTTTTTTGAAATATTTTTCCCTTCACAGGGATTTTATTGATTCTCTAATCAGCATGAATTATGTAATTGAACATCAATTATTGTAATAATGCCTTCAGAACTGCATACAAGGAAAGATGAATAAAATTCTTTGATGCAAAGTTTCCAGTGTTTGCAGAATGCATAATTACAATTACAAGTTGTAATATTTCTATCATGGAGGTTAGTAGGTGACTTACAGGAGCTACATAGGCTGCATGGTCCCCTCCGAAATCTTTGTAATGATCTCTGACGTCAAAACCAAGACTGAAGAAGATGTTGTTCCAGATGAACATCTGCATTCTGTAAAATAAGAGAAAGACAAACCAGAACATAAATAATGTCATACAAGACACAGGCGGGAGATCTTAAGAAGATCTGTAATCAAATCTACTACCTAACAATCTTATTCTCATAACAAGACATTCATGACATAAAGGTTGAACAATTCAATCTTGCTATAACATTTGATAACAATAACGTGTTGCACTTCAGGCACATAGTGCAATGCACTGTGGTCAGCTGTGCACTTGTAGGTGAAGGATCTCTTACTCGGACGATATCTAACCACGATTGATGGTCATAACATTACGCTGATGACTGCAATAATCTCTTGTTGCAGCTGCCACAACATCAGCAAGAATCTTGAAGATCACCTTCTCTCTCTCTCTTTTAAGCATGCATTTACATTAACATCATTCATATAAATGTGATATTACAGGCCGGTCATATGCCCTACTTAGAATCTTCACCGGGATTGATAGCTACTGCATTGCCAACAATGACTGCCAAGGTACTTCATTGAACCTGACACAATCAGTATGAACCTTGAAGATTGCTGTTGTGTTTAACTATAGTTACACTAATACAGTCAAACTTGTCTATAGCGACCGCCCAAGGGAAGTGGTCTTTGTAGACAGGTTCCTTAAGTACATGTTTCAATGAGAAACCATTATCAAGGAAAACAAAAAATTTGGTCTTTGTAGACAGGTGGTCACTAAAGCAGGTTTGACTGTATCAATAACACAATGTTATATTACGGACCTATCAAACGCCCTACTCACTTTGAATCTTCACCAGGGTTGATGGCCATTACGTTGCCATCGACGACTGCCATGGCTCCTCTCGTTGCGGCCGCCACAAAGTCACTATGAACCTTGAAGATCGCCCTCTCCCTCAGGAGCCTCTCTGGGAGGTTCTTGCGGGCTAGTTCCCGAGTGGTCTGGATCTCTTCGTTCCAGTCCCTGGTCTGGCCTGGGATGTGTTCCTCATAGCCCAGTCTTGATGTGTAAGCTATGAAAAGAAGAAGAAGAAGAAGAAGAAGAAGTTTAATGTTTCTCAAGAAGAATAACCAAAGGATACAAGTTCCTCATAGTTTGAGCATGTAAGAAGAAAAGAACATCTGTATTAAATTCTCCACTTGCGAAGTTCCCCATCAGTTTAATAATGCATTCATTTTTTCAGTCCTGGATGGTGTGTTTCCTTTTAATAGTAGAAGGCTCTTGAACTGCATGATCACATATCTCCTGTTGAGTCCAAAATGGAGGCCTACAATTTGGTATGTCCTGAAGAAACAGAACCTTACAGACCTATACAGCAATAAATTCTGATGGAACCAGACGGTCAGAAGAATAGTGTCAGTATGTCGTTAAAAATTTCCATAAATGTAAATTAACCTATTGTCTTTGAAATGCCCTCCCCTCTCCAACTTACAAGAAAACTCCTCTTTTATAAAACATCTTAACACTTTCAACAGTTTTTCAGTACAATAGAACGATGCTTGAGTTCTTACCATCCTCTGCCCTTATGGAGTCGACTGTGTGTTCCATCTGTGGGGCTAACCATGAGTAGACCTGGAACGGGGTGGGTACCCTCTCAAACGGGTGTCGTTGAGATCTTCATGTAAGAGGTGGAAAACAAGCAGAACGAGAAAATAACAAATGATCTTGGCATTCTTTCACAAAGCATTCTTAAGTACAAGTTCAACGACATCCCGTTGAAAAGCATTTATCAAAATATGGGATGACGGCGAACTTGTACGTATGACAGTTTTATGAAACGAAGCCAATACTACATCAATAATTTTTTGTTTCCAGCTTAACATCAGTGCTGAAACAATATGGAGAGGAAGGATTAATCAAGTTGCAGTTTCAGCTATGCATCTTTTACGAAAAATGTCTAAGATGAGATATCACTGATCAATACCATCTTCCACAATTAGCAACTTCTAGCAACTAAAATTTAATCAAATTTCTTTATGCATCCCATTTCATTCATGATGATTCCCTCCCCCCCCCCCCCCCCTTTCACTTTACACAATTTCTCATTTGAAATTATGGCTATCTTGTGCTAAATTCTTCCAATAAATGGCAAAACCATTGACTGACAATATTTCCATTATCAGCATTATTTTTCACATTCAATTCTGCATCTTGTGAATCTATAGCATGGTAATGGAGCCTCTTATTATTCTAACCTTTTCTTGAGCAGCTGAGCAAAGTTTTTCTTGAAGCTCGGGCTGACTTTGTTGAGTATTTCGATGAGGGAGTGGGACAGGTGCTTCTGGTCGGCTGGTTTTGGGTTGAACACTTCCTGGGTCGATCTGGAACAAATAACAATAAGGTAATGAAAGGTCATTGCAGTGTGAACACTGGTGTACACAAAGAAGAAATGTTTTATTTGGCGTTTCACTAACATAAAGGTCTGTATGAGTATTTTGATGAGGGAGTGGGACAAGTGCTTCTGGGTGGCTGGTTTAGGGTTGAACACTTCCTGGGTCGATCTGGAACAATAAGGTATTGAGAGGTCATTGCAGTGTGAACACTGGTGTACACAAAGAAGCATTTTATTCGGCGTTTCATTCACATAAAGGTCTGTTCCAACGAGCTTGGGGTTGAAAACAGTGTGGTTGACACTTGTGATTTAACATAGGCCCCAGTTGTAACAGATTTTTTTGTTTTAAGTGGAGCCTTACTTTCCGGAACCAATGTGAGATTGATGCCCCATTAAATCTCAACACGTGGGACCACAGTATCAATTTTGCACAGACTTGGTCACGGTTGGGGTCCAGTCTACGAACCAAACGTCTTGGGCTATATCAAAGGGGTACAACATATAAAGAGGGCGGTGCAGTGTAAATGCTGATTCACATAGAGAAACACTTTCTTATTTGGTGTTTCTGTACCGTATGAAAACATGTATGAGTATAGAACCGATGTGGGTTAAAAACTTCCAGGATTGATCCAATGATTTGAAACTAAGGTAGGAGGTAATGAAAGTGCATTTGAAGAATGAATGTTGTTTTACAGTGTGAATTGTGAGTAATAAATATTGTAGGAGTGGGGAAACAAACAAACAAAAATCAATTTCCTCCATTTTCAAAACACCTTGATACACCTATGAACATATACTGTATAGGAAACAATGCAAAATAAATTTGCCTTGAAATGAGAAACCCTAGATGTTTAATGTTGATTGTAAGGTCTAGCAGTGATACTGCTTAATATATTTGTTATTCATGTTCATCAAATTATCAGAGACAATGAATAATATCTTAATGGTTTAGTTTGCTTGATAATTAGGGAAACCAGTAGGTATTCTGGGCCAATAATTCACAGATAATTCATTCACATCAATACAAACAATTTTGGAACACTGTATTTTAAATAGTAATTGTTGTGCTCTTGCAGCTTTCAAGGTCATTGAAAGATGATAGACCTGATTTCAAAGAAGTTACACTCAACTATCTAGCCATGAAAGACAAACTGGAGGATAAATGTTGGGTTCGACACGACGCGCTGGAAACCAGAAACTAGATACCTTTAAACAAACCTAGTGCACGAGCCCCTCAGATCTTCTTTTGGCACTGGACGCGTAAAACGAGATGCTGATAACAGACATCTCAAATACACACATACAGGCATGGACTCTTGGCAGGCCTGACTGACTCGTGGACCAGATGACCTTTTAAAAGCCCGCCCCCTCTCAAATTCTTCCCCTCTCTCTTTCTCTCTCTCTCTCTTTCTTTCTCTCTCTCTCTCTCTCTCTCTCTCTCTCTCTCTCTTTCTCTCTCTCTTTTCTCTCTCTCTCTCTCTTTTCTCTCATCCTTTCACTCTCGTCCAATGCCTTCACCATGCCCAACGGAACAGTGAGGAATGGGACCTAATTGGATCGACTAGAAGAGCCGGCCTCGGCTAATTCAATGGAATCTAGCGGTCATTATTGAGGTTTGTTATTGTCTGCATTGGGACGTTGGTTATGTGACGGTTACATGACAGATTATTTTATAATACACTGTTCTAATTGAATGATCGGCTGTTAATCAGACAGGCATTGATCTCACTCAGCACATTTGTAATTAAACAAACATTAACATGAATGTTTGACTTCTAAATATTATGCAACAAAACAGTTACAGTAAAAGCTATGATATTGCAAAACAAACATGAATATTCGGTGCGAATGTCAATTGGAAAAAAACAATGCTTTGGGAAAATATTTTGAAATATTAAACAAAATTTATTTACATCAAAACTTCCTGTGAATAATTCCTTCTTATAATTCTTATCTTATTCTAGTCTTAGAGCTAAAATAATCTATCAAACATCTATTACACCTTCACAAGTAAAATGAAAGTTGAAGCGTCATGTGCTATATGTAATGTGGAAGAAATAACGAAGTTGTATTGCACGGTAATATGATTTAACATTCCCTACCAACTCATGCATTTGTAATGTGGAAGCACTCACTCAATGAGAAATGCATTGGAAATCACTTCTACTTTCTACACCACATGTGCCATGATTGAGAGAGAGGTGTTTGCACAATATGTATGCAGATCAAATCAGTATTCCCTCTCTGGGGATTTGTGCAGAGTCTTACAGTGAGAGTTAAAGCATGCATGGCATTGGGGTATGTTCACATAACACTGGAGAGCTTGGAAGTTTTTTTTTTATAGTGTTAAATGAATGGCCAGTAGGAATGAAGGCAAGTAGGAATGAACAAAGTGGCTGATTGCTAGACAGGCCTAATGTGGACGCACTTTTTGTGTGTAATAAGATACAGAAATGTATCAGAAATATCTATCGGCTCTTAAACACCACGGTTGCACTGACAAGACCAACACCAGACTAAAACTGGACCGAAATACCTGAAAATCGGTCAAATTGGTTTGGAGTTGGTTTAGAGTCGGTGTGGAGTCTGCGTGACTGTGACTGAGGTATATACCTATAAACTTTTAAGGAATGAATTGTAAGGGATGACTGGATTACTTACTGGTTGATATAGAAGCCTCGTGTTGATGCTGTGAGATGGTAGGACGTTCCTTCAGAGCACACAACGTACAGGTACATCAGGTCACCTATAGAAAGGAAAAAGATACATAATCGTTATAAGTGTTGCTCTCTTACGATTAAAGAAATTTTGTTTAACCTCTTTTCTGTAGCAGGCTACAAATCACCAAGATATACTACATGTTTTGACCTAAAAAATAACCAGTTGTGTTTAAGAAGAAGACAAATTTTTTTAACTATCAAAATCTCTACACAAAAATTAAACACTCTTTGATTTGCTTTGAATGCTGGTTTTATGGGGGGGGGGTGGGGTGTTGTTTTTTTTTTTGTTTACTCGATTTTGGTTCGTGTGTTGGTAATTCACAAGATTTTCCAAGTTTCTATTTTCTCAAACCTATTGGAATCATGTGATTAAGAAACTTCTTCTAACATGATATTTTGAGCTTTGTGAGCCAAACAACAAGAGAATTGCTTACAAAAAATATGAAAGTAGAGAAGGTAGAGTGTGCATGGATTTTCAGCACTTCCAAAATCTTAAACATTACTCTTCATCAGTGTTTTCCTCAAATTTTAACTCAAATTTTCAGATGTTGCATTGGACTTGCCCTTTAATTCCTGCATATATGACGGTGTGCTTTACTATGGGAAGAGGCACCACTCACACAAAAACATTCCTACAATCAAAACAAATACACAAATATCTGTCCCTTCTCTAGAAATTTCATTCATCGGATATTATACACCTGACAAAAACTCCTGAACCCTATGCCATTGAAGGTGCTAACTCATCAATCTATTATTGGATCAACTTGACAGATAGGTGTGAAAATCCAATAAGCGTGTCGTAAATTTTTCGGTTCACTAGGTGGAGCGAATCATAGCAGGTTCGAGAGTACTGTGTATACTTCTCTGCAAAACTGACAAATGCTTCACAATATCGTTCAGTATGCAGTTAGTAATGAACTCCAGAAACCAAATACTGATATTGTTTAGTAGTACAAATAAACGGACAAGATTCTCAAGTGAATGGAACATGTGTATTTCAGGTGGCCATAAATCTTAACCAGGAGTACAAATGCTACCCACAACACATTACATTTAAAGATAAAGTTGAGTTCTGGTCATGTGATTGCATTGTGAAAGAAACGGTGTGGAGTCGATCAGAAAAGGTTGATCATCTAGCATATAAGAATTGGTGTGTACTGCAAGTTTCTGGAATCATCAAAATGATAGGAAATCTGGTCCAGTCTTGGTAAAGTTACAAGCACTGTACACAGAAATATGTATATCGGACTACACGAACATGTGGCATAAAAATCCATCCCAATTTTTATGCTGTTACAAGCCATATTTAGATTATTACGGTATTTGAAGAACCTTGATTCTCAGGGAACCATTGTTATCTGATGTTCTTCCACACTTGCATAATAACAATGATGACGCTCACAAATTGTTTTTTCACCTCTTCCCAGAACTCAACCTTCTATCTATCAGTTACATTAGTTACATTGTACACATGTATTCATTCTGGCAATGTCTTTTACCCCCCCCCCCCCTACGCCTTCCCAACCCATATGCACATAAGAGACATTCAGGAGAGGGGGGAGCAAGTCATACTAATAGACAATAAGACAGACAGACAGAGAAGAATGAAAATCTTAGAGTGGAAGAGATAACAACTGATAAGTTCAAATAAAAATTGCACTTTGAGCTGTCTGTATAGTATTTGTTAACAGCAATGTTAAGAATTATTGAACATGACCTATCACATACATTTAATGATTATGACTTATTGCAGTCATTTAATACAGTCAATTCCATACGCAACAGACCACAAAAGTTTCAGTTATGTTAAAACCGTTAACTTCTACAGTGTACGTGCAAAAAACGTTCTCAAGATTCATGAAGGTTTGATGCCGCAAAACGAATCGAGCATACATGTCATAAAATAACATTTTGCATTTTACAAATGATTCTTGCTGTAAAAACGGTCCTCATTAACAAATCACAATGGTTTAATGTTATGAAGATTTCTGGTTTTTAAGTTGTGTAACATTTACATCCTGAAGACTTGATCAATTTGAAATGCCTCCCTGTAAACTCATTAACAATCATGAGATGCCTTGATTAAGTATTACAGATTATTAACTCCGCACATTTCTTGGTGTGATTTACTTTTCATTCACCTTGTGTTGCCTCTTTTTTCAATTACTTTCCATAAATATCTAATGATTTCTTTCTCAATGCTGAATGCTGGTTACCACTCTTCCATTGTCAAAAAAAATAATATTACGACATTTACTTTAGCAAAACCAGGACTGTTATCTAATGAACTATGTCACACCCTCTGTCAAAAATGATTTTTCTTTTTTTTAGTTTATTCTCAAATCAGTTTCTTTTCATATTATTATCAGTATCAATACTACTTCTACTTCTACTTCTACTGCATCTTTTGGGATCAGAAATTTACCTCTTTTCTTCACAGCATAAACTATTTCTCCTACAAGAATAAAATAAACTGTGGAACAAAAATGTTCAATAACAACAAAGAGTAAAAGACTTAGAAGAAGAAAAAAATGAAGGACATATCAAGGGTTCAGTGACACAAAGACGTAACTCCATTTTGGCCATTTTGAGAAAAGTGGTTTATTTGTCACTGAGCACTTGGGCCTTAAAAGTTAAGTCTATGTTTCACTAGCCATTGACTTCAATGGGGTGTTGGGTGGAGTGAAGTCTTTGTGTTTCCTGGAAAGCCCACATTTTCTGAACATTTTGATATCAAATACTCATTTTGGCAAAATATGGAGTTACATCTTTGTGTCACTGAACCCTCGATATTACATCTTTAAGCAAGTATTGCTCACCATGCATCCTTCTTGTGCCAGGGGGTGGGTTCCATCCTGACAGAGTCAGCACCTTGAGACAGCTCAAGGATCGGTTGTTCTCCTTGAAGGCTGGCTGCATCGGCAACAGAGGGCGCTCTTTAGACGCTGGCATGATGAACTCTGGAGGTGTGCAGTCCACCACGTCTGATGCCGCTGAGGATTTGCTGCGCTTCCGGTCGACTGACGGAAGCAATGAAACATAGGATAAGGGTAATATTCAGGGCATATAATTAATTGAAGTATTTTGTTAAGCACTCTGAGTATCATGGTTGTATTGAGCTCATTTGGGAGTTCCACATAGCACTGTCTGCATAATGTTTGATAAAATATTGTAACAAAAAAAATCTATGAAAGTATTTATATATACATTAACGTTTTGAGGATCATATCGCTAGGTGTATCTTTCCTAGGTTCCTAATGTCAATAATATTTTGATGCTAAACGTATACATCAGATTTTGAATGTAAGTATTCAAAAGACAAAAAGTGAAAATCATTCAAGAATGCATTTAATACCACAGACACTGACACCTCTCATGTTATTGTAAAAGCTATATATTTTATACATTTTTTTTTTTTTTATAGATCTGCCCACAGACCTGTAACTAACTTACAACCTTCATGTTGGGTTTCACTCCATAATATCCCAATGAATATTCAAAGCAAATAGATTACATGGAGGAGTTGTGGTGGCATTACGATGGACAGTTCTTGGCTAAGTTCCAACAGGGATGGCATCATCACATCCCAACGTAACTTACATCACAACCTTCCATCCAACATACTCTAGGGTTTAAATTGTTTCACGACATTTGTAAACATTAGAATCCTGATCATTAATCTCTGTCCATGTTGAAGAACCATCCAGACCAAAGAGATTTATCAACTTTGTAAAGCTACACAACGTCTGGATAGGTATGTGATAAATGAAATCAAAACTAAGATACAGGATACAACACTAAAAATAAAACGTAAGTAATCCAAAAGATCCTGCAAGTGTATTCCGAGTGTTACACATGTATACTTTTTAATCTTTTTTAGACCAAGTGAATTTACAAAGACTTTTAAGCGAAACATAGCATTGTCAAAGAGATGCATTTCAAAATATCTTCAACTTAAGAAAAGGCTTAATAGACCGGATTACTAACATATTCATATTTATAGATGGATGTTTCTTTCCCGGGGACCTAGTGACGAGGTATTCCATTAAAATGAATGAACAACAATACTTGGAATCCTGTCTGCAGTGGTATGTCGGGAAAGGCACAGACAAGCTTTTGGGGTCATTAAGAACAACTTTTCCTAAACATTATGCATAAATTTTGAACATGTTAGTAAAAAGGTCTATTGGGTTAATGTGATGGCTGTGCAATTTTGAACTTTAATTTGCATGGGCCGACTGCCTCCACATTTTCAAGATGAATATTTCAATATTAATATTCCCTCTTTAATAATCACATGACTTAGAAACTTTCGCAGTAGTGTAATGTGCATACAGCGTCTAAGTTTGCATCTCAGCACTGGTGTCATTGTGTACATCATCTGCCCCAAGTTGGATGATGTGTTGATATTACGAGTAGGAGTTGGCTCAGTTCTCCCTAACCTTTAGGATGCTACATGCCGCTACGCATACCACAGTCTCTTTACATTCACATTGGGTCTCTCTCATTTAGATGTACATGTAGAGGGACTCAAGCGTCAACATTAAAGTCAGTGACATGTTATGATGGAGACTAGCTCAGGTTAAAGCATGAAGGTCTTTACACCTCAGTCACACTGCCAAACCAACTCCAAATCGATCCTAGACTAACTGATTCAGGACCATGCAGTGTAAAGTGTAATTTATCGTTTGGTCTATTGTCACTCTGATGTCAGCCACAGCAATGTGACTGGGGTAGAACCCTTCCTGTTAGGTCAAGGAAATGTTAGGTTAACCGTACTCAGTCATCATTCTAAATGTAAGGAGTGTTCACAGTTAAAAGTTGATTTTGGCAAATACAGTACATTACATGTCACTGAAAAATTTAGACCAATGGTTCTGCCATCACTAAGACCCCGTTCTCACTCACTTTGAAAGTGGTCTTAGTTAGACCGCTCCAGACCGCTCCAGAGGAACGGGTCTTGAGGAACGGTTTGCGAGCGTTCACACTCCGAGCAGTTTTTATGGCTCAACCGCTCCACGAGTCAAAGTGGTCTTGTTGCTATGGCAGCTCAGGTAGGCGGGTCAATTTTTTCGCGCGCGGAATCCAAACCCTATGTCACCTGATGTCCTGTTCGCGACGCGTCCCGTATACATGTATATGTGTAGTGCCTGCCCGATCGCTCATCGCGCGGAACGTCACTTCCGTTCAAAGTACGCTTTCCGTTCACATTGCACGTTAGAGCGCTCTGGAGCGCTCTTAATAAGACCCGCTCCTCAAGACCACCTCGGAAGGTGGACTTCTGGAGCGGTCCAGAAGTCCGCTTCCTGGACCACTTTGAGCGTTCTCACTCACCTAAGAACCGCTCCTGAGGAGCGGGTCTTAGTTAGAGCGCTCCAGAGCGCTCCAACGAAGTGAGTGAAAACGGGGTCTTTGCCTACTTCTGGTCCAAACTCAACCCACTTCTAACCCACTCTAAAAACTTTCACACTAAACCAAAAGATGGCCAAGTCCAGACTCCCACCGATTTCGACCCACTTTCAACCCATTTTGGGCTGTGATATGAAAAAGGAGTACCACTTACCTTTACTTAATTTGGCTAAGTGACTACACAATGTTGGAGGCTAAATATTTTGTACACTTTGAAGTCTGATAAAGCCTGAAACAGAAAGGTGACACAGCCTGATTTCAGACAAAAGCCTGATATTGGCTACATAATACATCCAAAGGAGCAAACCTATACTACTGGCAAGTTGCCAAACATTGGTCAACCATTTACAAGCCCTTCTGGTACTAAACACTACAGATCTACACCAACGACCCCAAACTCCAATAACCCATCTTACCGCCTTCTGGCTGGGAGCTAGGGATGTAAATTCCAGAGGGAGCGCATCCATTCCGGAGAGATTTGCCCCCATCGAGGGAGACAGAGTATGGACTGGGAGGCGATTAAACCAAGGATCTATCTTGGTGTCTCACAGCATGAACTGTGTCTCGTTTATTAAGAACAGACCAGCTCAATATTATTATGTACAGTGAAATGCTACAGACTGGCCCATCCATGTTACAACAAACAAACGAACCTGAACTTCATGTTGAATAGACAAAATAGAGGGTACAGAACAGGAGAAAGATGTAGGATCAATTATGACAAAATATACGGAATCTCCATAATTTAGAGCTAACTTTGAGTTCAGGTAGTGATAAATGCTTGTAAAAGGAAACAGATTTCTGAATTGTCTATAAAACAAGTGATCAGTAGTTTGATAACCACAATGAGTAGTTCATCATCTTTTTTTCTTTGCTCACTTCTATCTATGAATTATTCATTTTCAGTCAAACAAGAATTCATATTTACATCTAACCCACTCCATCCTTGCCAATGATTTAACAAAAGTGCTCAAGCTGCAAAGCTTTCTGAATTGAATCGTATTGCTCCTTGTTTTAAAGGACCAGATCTACAGTCCTGGGGAGCATTTCACAAAACTTGTCATCAGTGACAAATGACAGTTTTTGTTATAAGCTACTGAAATCCTTGCTTCTGATTGGTTACCAGCGGTTTTGTCACTGATTTTTGTCATTTGTCATTAAAAAAAAGGCTTTGTGAAACGGGCCTCTGGATCTACTCTACTGGATCTACTCTACCAATTGATGATGAAGAACATACCTGATCCTCCTGGCACAGTCAACACAGTCAATGACCCCAATCCCAAAACATACTGGTTCATCATTATAGTGATTACACACACTTCGCACCTTCTTAACACAGGTATGGTATCAGTTGCAGATCATTAGTTGAGGCTAGACATGACTGTTTTGATAACGATCATATCAAGGCTCCTGAAGGAAAGTGGAGAACTGATATAATCCAGGAGATTAAAGCAAGATATAGATAATACCTGCCATTCTAAGATTACGAGCCATTAATATACAATTTCATCTCAGTTTCCAACATCGACCTACATCTGCAACCTACATGTATGTTTTAAGTATAGAGAATTGCATTGGACCCCCAGAGGATATCGTTTCCACATAACATGGAAAATCGCCACGAAAAAAAAGAATGCCATCGCAAAATAAAAAACATTTTACTTGCAAACGAATGGCAAGTTGGGGTGGGGGAGAAAAAAGAAACCATGAACAACAGCATACTAACCTATCTGTGTGCTTTAAGGTACAGAAATGTAAGGATCATTAGCCTTATGTCGTTTCATTTTGCCTACACAGAATTTTCTTGCTGTTTTACCACTTCATATTTGAATGAGGCTTCAGATAATCTAGAAATGGAGGGGGAGGCCAGAGGGAGGGAGGGGGGGGGGGGGTCTCAGCCTCGAATTGTTCAATAATTTTATATTTCCATTAGCAAAGGAGTAGGTGCAATGAGTACACATCAATCAGCACCTATATCAAAACAGGCTCAAATCCTTTAAGTCGTCCCCCAGCTGTACAAAGCACCCCTCCACATTGCTGCCAGACCAACAAAAGATACGGAGTAGTCATCACACATGGTCATGGTATAGTGCATGTCTCGCATAGGAGGTATAAACCATACCGGGGTTGAGGCAAGAACTGATCAGTTCAAGAGCAGGCCTTAAATTTCGTCATTTTTAGGGCAGGGCCAGTTTGGCCTTGAGTACCTCATATTTTTAAGGGCACCAAGGCCAAAATATTTTTACAAAAAGGGCATCGAGGCCAAAATATTTTACAAAAAGGGCATCGAGTATGAGGCCAAAAAAATTGATTCTATTTTTGTTAGATGTCATGTGTATTTTATGAAACTTGTGCGGGATCAATTTCCCATGACTTTTAGCACCAGCTTCTTCACAGAATGTATAGAGGTCTACGGTACATACAAACAAGGCGGCGGCCCGCAAGCCTTAGATTTAGCAGCCAGGAGCAAGGGGCAATTTTTTTTTAAGTTGCCCTTTGCCACGGGAATTTACCAGAGCAAGGGGCAATTTTCCAAAAAGAGATAGGCCCCCTTATCTAATCATAAGTTCAAAGAGAGTCTACAAATGTTAATTTCATAATGTGAATAGATCGAACGATCAATTTAATAACTTTTTAATCTTAACAATATGAACAGGAAAGATTGATTAAGAACATCAAACTTGCACATTAAACAGTATTTTAAAGTAACTAAAAATATTGATGAGCAAATGAATAAATAAATTGTCAATTTCACAAACACGAAAGTCAGAAGGACTTGGCAAGTTTACCGGGCCGGGTATCCCAAATCAAAATCGCACCTCACACACAAACCTTCCGCCACTCTCTCGGTAGTAGGAGCAAATTTGAAGAAATTATCTTTTTAACTGTTGTATAGAAAGGTCTAGATAGGCCTAACTAATGAAATAAGATGTAGAAATGTCCTTATAGACATTCGACAGCTGAAAGTGACACGCTCAGCTCAGTTGCGTAACGTGCATTCACGAAACCAAAATCGTTCCTCGCACACACACACTCGCCACTTTTGGTGGGAAGCTGTCGGGCTGGAAGTTTGCCAGCGAAACCGATGCACCCTCGGAGATTCGCAGCGCGTAATTTTACCGGGACTCGAAACGTTCGTCTTGGGAAGCTGGCGGGGTAGCTTTTTGAAGCGAGGTCGGCTGGTGGCAAAATGAGAGTAACTACGATCGAGAACATCGTAGGTGTTCTTAACTTATTAATAAGATAATTCTAAATTCTATTTGAGATAAAATAATAAACTAGACCTACAAACAAACCTCGACAGATCTCTAATGACTATTTGAATGCTTGTTTATTTCTCCATTTGACGATTTGTTTTCTTGATCCTGGCCTTCGATTTGTACGTACGTACGTATGTGCGTGCGTCAACAGCATGCACCATATGCATATCATGCGATCGCGTGATTGTACGTGCGCTAGCGCATTGCCTATATAATAACAAAGGGCGCATTTTCACGGCACTTGCGCCTTATTAAAGCACTAAATACGAAGCTAGAAGAGAGCTCGTGGGCGGCAGACTGTTCGTGATTCGTGTATTTTTACTGTTCTAATAATTTATGGGCGCATTTTCACGGAAAACACTTGCGCCTTGCCGTCTAGTTTTAGATGATTATGGGCGCAATTGGTGGTTTTATGTGCGCAAATTTAAAAAAAAAGGGCACGTCCAGTTGGAAAAAAAGGCACGTCGGCCAGTTTGAAAAAAAGGGCACGGCCTTTTTGGCCGTGAATTTATCTTTTTTTGGGAGGGCACCGCGGCCAGTCATAGGGCCATCGACGGCCTGGCCGTCGATGGCCGTCGATTAATTTAAGGCCTGCAAGAGACATGAGGTTCAACAAAGCTTCTTGTTTTGTTGAGTAAATATAGATAGAAAGTTGAGAACTTAGAAATTTCAAAATTAAGAAAGATGGCAGATCCCACTGCAGAACATAAAAATTCTTAGCCAAAGTGATCACTCATTGACATAAAAGAGAAAGTCGCCTCCCTTTAAAAGATTATACAAAAAATAATTTTTAAAAAAAATATCCTTAATGCCTCTTGTATACCTTTCGAGTACATGAATGACAATTAACCAAGATCTCTAGCAATGCCATTTTTTAGAGAAATAAGTCACTAATTAACTTGTTTTATTGGTTATCATAATATCCTACGCCTATAAATTGATATTTTGTCATGACGTAAGTGTCATAAAATACACTTTATTGCAATAAAATGTACCAAAGAGTTATGATTATTATCAGATAGGAAGGACTGGGCGTTGTCTACATTAAAGGGGCTGTAGCATGGGAAATACTGGTTGACGCCATCAACGTCTTATTTTGAACAACTGCGCGTAAATGAATGGACTTGATTACCTGGGTCGGCGCGCGCTAGCGTGCACTAGCGTTCGCTAAACAGACCGAAGTTCTCCTCACGCTTCAGTTTTGCATATGTTGCACACATGAATATGTAGGCCTACTGCGGTCGCGTTGTCATATTATACCGATTTTCCCCGAGTGGGTCTCGGGAAAGACGCCTAGTCTCGTCATGCTACAGCCCCTTTAAGCTATGATTCTCCTTACCTTCACTGAGGACTGTAGATAGGAATGAGAGAGACTGGCAGTCCACTCCATTGTACGCATCCGATGGATCCAGAGATTTGAGCAGGTCTCGTACATGGCGGACATGTATCCTAGCTTCACGTACTGTGTATGGCTCTGGAAAAATCAAAGAAAAAATATATACAAAAATGAAATTTTGATGCATGTTGATGATTTCAATCACATAAATACAATTGCATTTCATTTCTTCCCACGCCCACAGTTCAGCTGCAGCTCTGTGGATATTAAAGAAATATAAATTATGGAAATTTGATGCACGTTAATGATTTAAACCGAATGAAGAGAAACGTATCCTGGCTTCACGTACTGTGTATGGTTCTGGAAATAGTAAAGAAAAGAGAAAAGATAGAATTTTGATGCATGTTGATGATTTCAATCGCATAAAAACAATTGCATTTCATTTCGTCCAACATCTACAGTTCAGCTGCAAGCTCTGTGGATATTTTTTTTTTTTTTAAATAATTTATTTCCTTGTAAGTTGATCTCCATAGGCTAATGTGTAGTGCCATACATAGTCTGTGATCAGTGCGAGTAGCACTGAAACAGGTGGAGAAGGCACTGCTTTATATATCTCTGTTTGTTACACAGCTTTCATCTTGTGCGGAACACAATCATAGGTATGTCTTTGAACAGAGGTAGGTAGCTTTGTGGATATTAAAGAAATTAAAATGAGGGAAATTTGATGCATGTTAATGATTTAAACCGAATGAAGAGAAATGTATTTCGTTCCATTGCATATCTATAGTTGAGTAGCATTTCCATTTAATCATGGTATGAGTTCATACATGTATATTACAATGTATATTACAATGTATATAACAATGTATACAACAATGCATGTATATTACAATGTATATTACAATGTATATTAAAGGCTTAAGTCTGCTCAGGAGCCATCTTAAATTTAGGGTAGAATACTTCGCCAAAAGCTTCAACTGAATACCAAAGTTGGCTAAGTATTTTATCACAGCTAAAAACTTTGTAAAATAATCACATTTTTGACATAAGTATTGAATTGAATACCGGCCCAGACTATTGTTGGGCTATCCCTTTAGTGTTAAGGTTATTGCTCCTTTGATGAACACTTCAAGTTCAGACATCGGGTAATTAATCAAACCCTCGAGGCACCGATGACCTTGGCCTAAAAACTTAACAAGGGCAAGTGAGGGCGCCGATGACTGGCAAAGGTTTTATCGTAAAGTTGTACCTAGATGAATTATTTGCTCTCAGGATGTTTGATCATGAATTCAATGCAGTTCATTCAAAGTAAATATGAACTGAAGTGGCATAAAAACTTGTAGACTGTTCTAAAATATACATGTATGCACCATATTTACGCATTATTTGCTCTCCGGATGTTTGATTGTGAATCGCATGTACTTCATTCAAGGTAAATATGAACTTTAGTGGCGTAAAAACTTGTTTGTGACTTCCTAGGCCAGAACTTTATACCTTCTTATCTGCCTCTTTGGCTTTAATAGTCCCACTCCCTTTCTTCTGTGAGGTATCAATAACCATATTTACCCAATGTTTACCCAATGACTGTATCAAGCTGATAGCCCTAATATAGGTTGAATCAGACAAAACATCAAACAAAATGATACTTTTATGTCAAGATAGGTTCACAATTTCATAATCAATAAATCAATAAAAACTTGGTATCATACCTTGAACTTGCTCTTAACTACACAGGTCATATTTCACAGCCTGCTCCACCCACCCCTCTTCATTTTCCTCTTCTTTTTAATCTAAGTAAACACTTAACTCCATTGTAAGACATTAATAAATAATTATCACCCTGAATCAAATTCAATAACACAAAGTACATATCAGATCAAGTCCTTTCAAAAGGAAGATTCCACTATATATATAGGTGGACAAGACCCATCTATTGTTTAAACAAAAATGTAATCTGCATGTGTGCATTGTAGGTTAGGAGTCAACAGGCCTGTCCTCATCATCTATCCTGATCTCAAATTAGCAAGTTAATTTGTGACTTCATCAGCCCGCAGTTGCAATTAGCAGGATATTTGGTCAAGAAAATATCTTAAGAAATCTTGGTCGTGTTTCCAAAATATCCCGCTATTTGGGAAGTAGCGGGCTAATTTGCGCCCGTCCGAGCTAGTTTTAGACAAGCATATCGGTCTGGTGAATGCACAATTTTGAGCTTCGGGATAATATCCCGAGTCTGAATATAGCGGGTTATTTGGCAAACTTGAGCTGATGAGGACAGGCCTATTGTGCCTGTTCCTAGGGCAAGTCTAAACTGCCTCAAGATCTAGCTATAAATATTGGTACAGAACTACTGAACTCAGCACTTTATCAATGCAGGCGAGATAAGAATATTTAAACAAACTTACAATAGGGTGGCTCTGATAGACAAGTAGCCTTGTAACCTCAAATTAAACGCTCTAGATATAAGGGTATTTCAACAGCAATGCTAACAGAGACAGAGCCGTTAAATCATAAATCATTTATTGTATTAATTAAAGGTTAACCCGTAAAACCTGAATGTGAAGGTCCTGATAAGCCTCTGTAAATATTTAGACTGAGAGATAGCTCAGAATATAAAATTAAAAACACCACTGAAGCCGATGGCATCATCGTTAGCACCTTGCAAAATGTATTTATACTGTATAATTAGGAAGATGTTGCACGTACATGAAGGACTGGACTCAAAAAGATTAAAGCTGTCGATATTAATAGGGATTGATTCTCTGAACATTGGGGAATACCAAAATCAAATCTATGGGTTGAATACCTTTTCCCCTTCCCTCCCTCTTACCACTACTAATTTGATTACTACACCTGTACAGTGTATGTACAATTCAAAGAGCTTTAAAATAAATAAGGTTTAGAAACAGAGACACAGAGTGGGTAAATATATATTTTCTCAAATACATACACACCTCCCCACAACAATGGTTAATGATTCACATCCCGAACAAATCTCAAGAAAAGATGTTTTTCTCTAGATTAAAAAGATACATATTTGATTACTACACCTGTATGGACATTTCAAAGAGCTATAAAAAAAAAACAGTTTAGAAATACACAACTCCCCACAACAATAATTCACATCTCAAACAAATCTCAAGAATGGATGGCTTTCTCTAGAAAAATACATCACAATAAGCGAAACAAAATCATAATAATAATTTGTAATATTTTCCACTCGCACAGACACTCAAAGCACATTTCAGCACTGCTATTAATCTCATCACCAGACACATACGTAATGCCAGATCAATTAATACATTAGACAGGTTATCCTTGATGGAACGATAATAACTCTTCATGCCGGGTAGGTAGGTCATTGAATCTGGCATGCCAATAACAAACGTTTCATAACAACTGATCTGGGGTTTTGTAACACCATAACAATCATTAAAGGACCCTGTGAGGAGGAACAATGTTACATGATGTGCACTTTAAAAATAACCTTCTCCAACTCGAGCAAAATTGTCTCATGGCAATAGATTTTTTGCAAACCTTTAACATTTCTGTATTTCTCTCTAAAAATACACTTTTATAACCTTCATTTCATTCAAGATAATAGTTTAATCCCTTTTCCCTCTGTCTCGTGCGTTAATAAAAATGCTTTTACTATTGTGGCTACAGGGCCCCTTGGCTGAGCAATTATTTTAAGTGAAAGGTCACCCTTTCAAAATGAAAATAAAAATAAATAATGGCTTTAAAAGACCAATTGAAAGCAATTTATTAATAATAAAGAAGTTGATCACTGATAAATAATAAGAATGTGGTCAACAAAAACAAATCGAAAGATTCAGCACACTTTCTTTGACATTACAAACATAAAGATACACGAAAGAGAATACAATTAAATGTCACGTCAAATGAAAGGTGAGCCAATCTAGAAGCAAACTGAAAGGTCAATTACCTTCAACGACTTTGATAACAGAGTTATCTTTGAGGCCCTCGATGTTCTTGAGTTCTGCAAAGTTGTCTAGGACATTGCCATCGAGTTGAAGGGAGAAGCACGTCCGATGGCAGGTGTCCTCTCTGTCCATTAGGACCTGGTGGATCTCCTGCACCATCTCCTGAGGACTCACCTAGCAACAGAAGCAGACAGATAGAGAGATTAAGAATCAGATGGATGGAGAGAGACTAAGAATCAGACAGGTAGAGAGATTAAGAATTAGACAGATATAGAGAGATTAAGAATCAAACAGATAAAGAGATTAAGAATCAGACAGTTAGTGAGAGATTAAGAATCAGAAAGATAGAGAGATTAATAATAATAATAATATTGGATTCTTATATAGCGCACGTATCGACCTTGCAAGGTCTTCAAGGCGCTCCAACATTACCCGGCTATGCTAGGCTGCCGATTCGACAGATTAAGGACAGACAGATAGAGAGATTAAGATCAGACAGATCCTGTATTCACCGAGATATATTACCTACTGTATGTTGACAAATTCCATTTGGGGGCCCTCATGTCAAACCCAACAAGCACAATCTATCATTCTATATTACTCAATTTCAAGAGGTGATTGACCTGCTGAACTGGTATTTACATTTACACATACAAGTTGTTTGAGAGAAGACAAAACTGTACAAGTGCGTTCAGGCTTCACACATGTTTACTTATCACTTTTCACCTTACTGGATTTTAAAGAGTCCCTGCTATTTGCTTAATCCGGCAACAAAAAGCTTGTATTGCTATCGGTATAAAGGTAAGGTGAATTCAGTCAAGGGTTAAAATTCAATAAACAATGTTTTATCATCCTACATCTGAACGATTCGTAGTAATAAGAGTGTTTCCTGCAGAAATTCCTGATCACATTATGTGTCACAAGTTTTAAAGATGAAGTTGAGTTCTGGTCATGCGATTGCATTGTGAAAGAAACGGTGTGGAACCGACCAGAAAAGGTTGATCATCTAGCATATAAGAATTTGTGTGTATTGCAAGGTTCTGGAATCATCAAAATGATAAGAAATTTGGCCAAGTTTTGGTAAAGTTACAAAAACTTGCACAGAAAGATGTATATGGGACTACACGAACACGTGGCGTAAAAAGCAGGCCCCCAGATTTTTACGATGTTACATGCATATTTAGAATATGTAGGCATTTGAAGAGCCATGCTTTTCAGGGAACATGTCTTAACTGATGATCTTCCACACTTGCATAATAGGAATGAGTAATGCTCACAAATTATTTTTCACCTCTTCCCAGTACTCAACCTTCTCTTTAAAAGAACAAATTAATATTATTTGGGACAATCTCTTAATTCTCAAGATCTTGAAGGACTTGTACATGTACTTCTTTGATTTTAAAACTACATCAACAGCTGTGAACAAAGGACAACCAGCAGGCTTTTTGGGGTGTGCTGGTGACAAAATGTGTCAAGTGTACTTAAGGCTACATGTACCTGTATGGGACAGCCAGTTGTATGTGCAGGAAGTCATAGAATTTTCACGTTGTTTCACATTGATTCAATTATCGAGTCTGTAGTTATCAGATTCAGACCATCTAGGGACCACAGTCTACAGAAATTGGTTCACGATGAGACACTTGCTTTTAACCTACTTTACTACAACCTTGCACCACTAAAGAAACACAAACAGGAAATGGCGAATTGTTACTAGAATCACCTACTACTTTTCTGTATTGCCTGCCGACAAAAAGAGAAACCTAAAGCTATTACACACATTCCTAATTCGGCACGCGTGCCTCTCGAGATGGAACAAAATGCAAAGCTGCTTTGATTTGTTATCAGTAACGTCCCAGCTCTTATTTCTGAGACATTTTTTCTTTCTTTCGTTGCTTATTTGTCCGAGGAATTAATCTTACAGCTGTGAGGGTCATTGAGGGCAGCAGCAGGAGGTAGCGTATTACATCTCAATTAAGTGCTGCTCAGAAGGCCTGTCCTCATCAGCTCAAGATTGCCAAATAGCCCGCTATTTCTGATTTGGGAAATAATCCTGAAGTTAAAAATTGTGTCCTCATCAGCTCGAGACTTGACTTCGAAACTTGAACCTCAAGCTCGAGAAATCAGCTCGAGATATTTTGCTCAGCGTTCACGCATAGTGCGAGTCTTCAGGCGGGTGAAGACGCAACGGACAAACAGCGGGATATTTTGCAAACTAGCCGAAGATATCTTGGGATGATTATCTCGACCTAATTTCCCGCTAATTGCAACTTCTGGCTGATGAAGACGCAAATTAACTGGATAATTTGCGATCGGGATAGTTCAAATAGCGGGATATTTGGCAATCTTGAGCTGATGAAAACAGGCTTAGAGACTGAGTCTACCACCACGTGCGAAGGACGTTCACTACACCGCATGGTGACGATGCTCGACAACAGGGGGTGTGAGTCAAGGCGATCGTAGCATACATGTACATACATGTACACATGGTTATTAAGCAATGAGGCAAACTCAAGAAGCCAGACCACGTGTATACATTGTAGACATACCTGATAGTATGTACACTTACAAATATAAAATTATCTTGTGCTTTTGAGCTTGAATCCTAATGTAAATATGAAGGGGTGATGTAATAGTTATTTCTTTGGTGGGGAGAGAAAGGGACAAACAGTGTGAAGGAGCAGGTGTTGCCATTTAAATTCATTGGCACTTTCATGAATATTCTGTTTTCAATTCTTCACAGTTCTGTTAGATTGGACTTGAAGTCATAATAATAATAACAATAATAATAATATTAATAATACCAATAATAATAAAAACAGTAATAATAATAATAAGAAGAAGAAAATAAATTAATTAATTAATTAATACATGAATATACAAATAAATTAATTAATTAATTCATAAATACATTCACAAAGACAGGTAAATAAGTTAATTTAATTAGGGGCTCCATGCACACAGACCCTAATATTCCAATCTATAACTTCTGTTTCAAAAATAAAATAAGTGAAGTGTGAAGCTCTACATGTACAAATGTACTTAGAGATACATGTACAATGTACATGTACATGTAGCTATACATGTCTCACATCGTCCTCTTCTGCCCTCATACCAAGCCCATAGATTTTAATCACGGATGTATAGTGTCCCTGTACTTTTAATTTCAAACTACATTTGTTGAAACTTGATAACAGGAAAGGCTTGAGTCAAGTTGAGACCAAAGTCGGCAAGCCAGGTAATTACCAATATCCTGTTCACGGCTCCTTCAACCCTTCTTGACTGGTAACCTCTTCTGTTGGCAAACCATGTGCAGTTCTAGCGACAGACCCACAGGATACTTTCTAGATTTCATTTCAGAAATAGATTGTTCATCTTTACAGAAAATAACTTCTCAATAATAATACCAATAATGGTGGCTTCTTGAAAAGCGCACATGTCCTTCACGTTGTGACGCTCCTGGCGCTGCCCCGATTATTACCCCGGCTTTGGCAAGGCAGCCACTTCGGCGCTCTAGCATTTCAAGCAATTAATTCCTGCCAGGTACCCATTTACATCACCTGGGTTGAGTGTAGCAAATGTATCCACTCGACCACGACACCTCAATGGTCAATTTTTAACATGATTTAAATTCCGAACTGCAGCCCCTGTCCTAAGGCCCCTAAATGCAACCCTAAAACTAAACTAAAACCAAACTGCAACCCAGGCCGTAACACAACAGTCTTGAAGCAGTGAAGCCCTGAGCACATGTCTCAGGAGCAAATACAAATACCAGAGAGATTCAGATCAGTCAACTCACCTGTAGATCAAAGGCTTCACATGCCGGAGGTACTATCTTCACCATGAAGGCTGCATCCTGGATCACAATCACATCTTCCACATTAGCATCTTTCTTCTTCTCCTCCTCCCCCTCCACCGCCGATCCCTCCTCCTCCTCTCCAGCATCCCTCCTGCCGTTGCCATTGGCAACTGCCTCCTTGAGTTCTAAGGCATCTACATGCATGCAGTCCACCCCACTGTCCTCGCTGTTAGGGGTCACATCTCCGCTGCTACCTGCGCCATCCTCCGCGCCATTGATGGGTAGGGGATGGGGTTGTCCACTCCGTTTACTAGAGGGGCAGGGTCTGCCATAGTCCAGTCAACGGTTTCAAAACGTCAAATTAGTTGTCAAATCTGCAAAAGCAAAGACAGAAGAAATAGAAGCATGATACTATAAACACGGCTTATATCAAATTACTCATAAAATGTTCATAGAGAATGAACATCTTGAATGCGAAGCATCGCCGATGCACCCCCCGGGACATAATGTACCATGCTGTTTACCAAACTCACCATCCTATTCACTCACTATGTATAGAATGTATGAAGTTCTCTGTAAGGGCATTTAGTACACAAGTTCTGCTCTTTTCATCTTTTTTTTCCAAAAACTTTTAACTACTGTTTGTATGCATCTACATTTGACCTCATAATTGAACACAAGTATTCACTGAGCTACTGTCTACAGAATTTCTACACCACCATTGTTCCATCGTTACCGACTTGATTGAATTAATTATTTTATTAGTTTGACATCCTCTGTCTAAAACTTTATAGTCTAAAGACTTCTTCATTCTATTCGTGATGAGCACAATGCTCTGATCTTTTTCAGTCTTCAAGCAAAAACTGAACACAGTCACCATGCTCTTTCCTCTAATACATTTAACTCAACACAGACCAAGTTCATGAACTGTACACACACGCGCACACACACTCCTGTATCACATTTCTTGTACTGCTCTTGAGCGTTAAGCGTAATCACTCGTCAATATCTTGGCCGAATCCCAGGTATGCTGGGCTTCCGAACTCGAGTCGAGCGCTAATGGTTTGCCGGGTGGCGCTGGAGGAAGCATGCAAGCGATCGTCATCTTCTTCTGCAGCTCGTAAAAGTGGATTTCCTCCCCCCTCCTAAAATAGACCAGGATCATTAGGTGATACAAGGACAATGTGAAAGACATGGGCAGCGATCTAGTTCATTCTGCATCCAGCTCCACTGACATTTAACTACACATGCATGTACAATTGTATAGCAGTGGGCTACATGTACAAGGTACATAATATTGATGATGACTTTACCAGTCTACATAGCTCTTGGAGAGTCATTTTATTTCTAACTTATTTTAATAAAAGGTTTAACTTTTTTTTTTTTTTCATTCCAATTATTGTCACAATTTTTTCTACAAAAGCTTGCCTAAAGGGTTATGTCTACCTTGGTTCCTTTCGAATATCATACTGAAACAGTACAAGCATTTGTTTTGGTGGCAACGCTTAATAATACCTAGAGCATAAATTCTACAGGAGGTACAATAGACTGATTTACTAACATATCCGATTATTATGCATAATTTTAGAACAAAATTTGTTCTAGACGACCTGAAAGCTTGTCTGAAACTTGCCTGACATAGCAACAAGTGATACATGCAGACTGGATTTCAAGTATAACAGTTTACCCATCAAAAACAAGTACAGTTTTAAATGGAATAAATCGTCACTACATGTAGGTCTCTAGGAAAGGAACATCATAACATCCATAAACTTGAATTTTATTGTTAGTAAACTGGTCTGTTGATTGTTATAATCTTACATCGTTTGACTACACCAAAACAGTAGTTCCACGTGTCTTTCTGAGTGAAGGAAGTTTGCAACGACAACTTTCAAAGCCACGAAGACAGGTGATGTGCAAAATATCAGAGTACAAATCAATGACTAACACACCTTCGGTGCACGTTTGGAGCCCCTGAAAATCATGGATTTACATCAATCAGTAAGATTTCACATACAGTACAAGTACCCAGACAAGAATGTACATGTAGTATGTGGGATGGTATTAGAGTACACAAAATGGATTGAGAGATACCGTTGCAGAATGGGCCAACAAAATTCATACCGAAGATCCAATCAAATGTTCTTCTATCTTGCGTATATTTTCAGGAAGCATCCTCTTCAAAGGACACACTGGCACAGGAACATGAGCTACAGAATAGTTCCAAGGATTTCACACCAGTGCAGTATCTATTTTCTGCAAATTTAAAGGTTTACATCCTCTTATTCCTGTGGTCCCATCGAGAACCAGTGTTTCATCCAGATGCAGATACATGTACGTACATGTAGCATACAGTTGTTCATGCACATACCACAACACTCTGTACTGCTACTTTGTACAAGACCGACGTGTCAGGTAGCCTTCTGACAACTTTTGTAAGGGTTCCCAGGAGCAACGTTGATGGTCTCTTGGATCGTCAAATTACAAATTTCACATTACAATATCAAATTACGACAATAACCCCCTCTGTGCAATGTGTACAGTGTGCTAAAATCAACTTCTGGACCTACTTGTGGACCTACTACCTCACAAACAACATACATGTACATGTAGCGACATTTTGATGCATCCCCCTCCCTCTCAGCTGCTCGAAGGGCTACGCCACCATGGAGCTGATAATTAAATTCCCAAGATGATAGGTATTGCATTGGAACGTGACCCCAACACTTCAGAGAGACCCAACTCACACTTAAGAAATGAAAGCATGATTGTGAATACATAGAGTCGCTCAAGGAAGATGTGCTCTGTACGCAGTTCAGCAAAACAATAGGCTTTGAATGGCAATATATTTGTTAAAAAGATCAAAATTATTAAATCAAGGGTATTTGCTAGAGAGCATCCTATTCGCCGAGAGGCTATCACATGGCAGTTAAAGAGAAGGTTGAGTTCTGGAAAGAAGTGAAAACTAATTTGTGAGCATTATCATGTTATTATGCAAGTGTAGAAGAACATGAGAAACAAAATGTTCCCTAAAAAGCATGGCTCTTCAAATGCCTTAATATTCTAATTATGGCATGTAACAGCATAAAAATCGGACAGATTTTTATGCCACATGTTTGTGTAGTCCCATATACATATTTCTGTGTACAGTGCTTGAAACTTTACCAAGACTGGGCCAAATTTCTTATCATTTTGATGATTCGAGAACCTTGCGGTACACACCAATACTTCTGTGCTAGATGATCAACTTTTCCTGATCGATTTAACAACGTTTCTTTCACAATGCAATCGCATGACTAGAACTCAACTTTATCTTTAAGAAATAAAAGCATGGTTGTGAATACATAGCGGAGTTCAAGGAGGATGTGCCCTGTAGGCAGTTCAACAGAACTGGCAATATTTTTTGTTAAAAAGAACAAAATTATTAAATCTAGGGTATTTGCTAGAGAGCATCCCATTCGCCAAGAGGCTATCACATGACACTTAACCCATTGCCTATGTGAACCACCATGGCTCCTGTATTAAGCCTATGGAAATGAAAGCATTCAGCAGTCAATGGATTAAGAACTTGTTACATACATGTATGCACAAGCATGCAAAATAGACATCCTTCGCTGTGCGTACCCATTGATTGCATTGTCTTAGCGTAAGCCCCACACATTTGAAGTGGAACTAACTGGAAGAGAAAAAGGCATGAGATAGCACATACCCTCAAATTTATGTAGCAAATATTGAACATACATTTATTTCCCTTGTGTGTAATTATATTCCAACCTCCGCCCGTGGCCTTGGTGAAATATCACATCACGCTGGAAATATATGAATTTGTCGATTCATATATTTTGTTCTAATGAACTCCTGATCATTCCATGCATGTACATATGTATTTAGCACATGTGCACAAAAGGTATGTACAGGTGTATATGAGCAGGAAAATGGAGCGATCCACTGCCACATTCTGGTGGGTTGCCCATTATTACATCACTTTAAATGTGGATGAGAAAAGATATCGGGGGGGGGGGGGGGGGGGGGGGAGGGGGTGGAACATTTCAAAAGGATTATCTGAAGATAAGACAAAGACTAACACATGGATTAAATGTAGTGACCAATGGTGCTGTTTGACTGACCTTCGGAGGCCTGTTCAGATATGACACATGGTAAAACGCAACTGTGTTATATGATGGAAAATGGAAAACGGAAGAATCTGAACAAGGCTTAAATGGATAAATTGGTTATGAATCTTAGAAGCGTCTTATGTCTTTATGCATAGATAGACAGACAAACAGACAAACAGACAAGGTTAATTTGTCTTAAATTACATAATGACTTGTTGTTTTGAGTTTTGAGTTTTCAATGGTTATGTAAATCCTCTTTGCAGACCTTGGCTGATTGCATAATGGTACGAGACACTGCCACCAATTTCAGGGAAAATAGATTACTTAATTACACCCACAGCAAACTCTTGTATAATTAACTTAAAAGAAAAGTACCGTCTAGACATACATAAAGCAAGGACTGGATTTTAACACTAAGGTACAAGTACATTAGCACTTACAAAATTAGTTTTTCAATAGAAAATCATTTCAGATCAAAATACAAGACTAACATTTTCCAAACTTCTTACACTCAATGCTTTGTTTCACTGAAGTCTTGTTTACTATCTAATTTCAAATTTTAATTCAATGAATAATTATAGTAGACTTGATTTCAATATCAGATTGAACTTAGTAAACAATCTTCATCCTATTGACTCTATTCTAATCTTCAGTAGATGTAGACAAACTTTCTGAAGTGTCAAAGGTCAATACACGAGACAAGGGTGAACTAAAGGTTGTTTGGGGTCATTTCGTCATTGATATTTTTTGTTCGCCATCCATACAATCTGCAACACATCTACACCAGGACAATGGTATAGAGTTCTGACAAAACAAAACATTCTTACAATTCATAATATAAAAATTTCCATGTCAGATAGAAAACTAGAAATATAATTGCAACAGGGTTGAGCTCAATTTAATTCAACTATATTGAGATGTATTGTCTGTTGATAAGAAGAAACGCATGTGCAGTTGATGTGAATGTCTTTTACGCACATGCCTGCAATCCTGAATGTGTACGTGCATCAACTAAATGTCATCTCCCCAGCTAAAGGTGATTGATGGACCAGGAATAAGAGTAGTTGCGTTACTCGATACTTGGCCATTCACCAATCTTTGATCAGACACTAAACTACTCACCTAGACATCACGAGTACAATTAAAAAATAAAAAATCCATTACACGCTCTCACTTCTACATGTACATGTATGTCTGTAGGTCAGATAGACACAAGCCGGGCAGGTCAAAAACTTTCCACTGTCATTAACCATATCTAT